ATGCAATAGCCCATAATGGTGATTGCGGATCAAGACAGACCACTTCACGTGATCTGTGACGCCAGCGTTCTTGCGATCGGCTGTGCGTTGATGTAATTTGATACAGATGGCACAGAGCGCGTTATATATTATCTATCGCGTCAGCTGCAAGCAGCTGAGCGTAGATACCCAGTGAATGACAAAGAAATCCTTGCCATTAAATATGCACTGGCTTATTTTCGTGTCCATTTCTTAAAGGTAGACCGTTCGGTGTGTTTTAAACATGCGTCACTACGCACGGCCGTAAACATTCCACACATCTAGCAACGAATGGCGAGGTGGATGATTTTCTTCGCGCAGTACAACTTCTTCGTCGAGTATAAACCAGAACGAATGAACGTCGTCGATTATGCGCTTTCGCGCCAATCCAATTTCAATCTGGGAGCGCACTACAGAAGTAAGGATGATTTTACTGTTGCGACAATTATAGTCAGTGTCTTGTCGTCAACGTTCGTTGACGACGTAAAAAAGTCCTTCGCAAAAGCTGAGAATCTTCTTCGCTTGATAAATTATCTTGTTATTCCATCTCGGAAAATTTAATAAATATTATTGAGTTTGTACCTTTTCTGATCGGATCGGCATACAGCACGCAACGGGTCCCTCTACTATACAGCCGTTGCTGACGACACGCCTCGTGTCATTGTCCCCGCTCATAAAAAAATGCATTTGCGCATCATGTACATTGTCACGATGCCCCAATAGGTGGCCGTCGTGGCAAAGAAAAGACCTACCTTTCGGTTTGTTGTTACTTTTAAATTGGACGCGCCACGATCAATTTAGGTGCAAGTACATTCGTGCTTGCGAGATTTGCCAGCGGGCGAAACCTAGGCCATCATCCGGTGCACCCTTAAAGACTCTACTTGTCCCGGCAGAGTAATAACAGTCCGTTCCATGGATTTCGGCTTCGGTATTCCCGAGGACGACCACATAAATGACAGTATTCTCGTGCTCGCTGACCAGAATAGCAAGATGATAGATCTTGCTGAAGTGCCCGAGTCGATCACGGCACAGGGATAGAATCTTGCCTCAATTGACGCAATATTTCGACTCCACGGGTTACCGTGTGAGCTCATTTTCGACCGTGATCCTCGGTTTACGGCTGAATGTGGCAATCCGAAATCCGATCGCTTGGAACGCGTATAAAGATGTCATATTGTGACAATTCTAAAATAGATGGTCAGATAAAACGCGAAAACCGCTTAGTTGAAGAGGACCTTCGAGTATACGTCCACCCGTTCTCGAGTTGAAGAAAATTTCTAGCTATAGTGGAATATGCCATCAATCATTCATGGCATGCTTAAGCCCAGCACACACCGTATCTCGTGAATGGATTACGCCATCCGCGTCGGCTCATCCTACTAGAGTGCGAAACTTGGATAAGGGGGGGGGGGAGAGACTCGCTCGATCAAAAATCGTTTTGGCTCTTGCTTATCAAGTGTCGACGCAAACGACGTCACGTATAATGCCAGTGACGATCAAGTCGCCATTGAATAAAACTCAATTTAATACTAGTGACATCGCTATTATTGCATTAGATATTGATGCAAAGCTGGTATTATTTCAGCATCGCCAACGACTGTTACAGCGAGGACTATCAAATCCTCGCTGATGAACCTAAGAGAAAAGGAATCTTTCTGCGGTTCGCACAAGGAAAACTGAACAAAAATTTCTCGTCACTATAAGGATTTATGCTGGCTCGAGAAGCAATGGTCCGTTTCGTGCATGACTAAATCGCTCACGCAATGGACCGTCACAAATGAAAAGCTGATAAGAATAGAAGAGCAAACGTTCTTGCATTGTTGAGGGTGATTTAGCCCTACATTCTTCGGTAAATCTACCTAGACACGTAGTGACATAAGGGCGTCATTAAATTTCTGTTTAAGTACATCGGACCCTTTCGTGTACTGCGTCGACAAGGCAACGCATACACGGTTGATATGCCTCGTAGAATGCGTACGCATCCTACGTTATACGTGGAGCCTCTCCGCCCGTCCTGTCAGTACAAGACCTCTTCCGACGATGAGGATAGCCTCCACGTATAAGAATCGTCATCCGATTCTTGCGCTCGCACTTTACCCTTTGCCCGCATTGAAGAGACCTCCCCGCTCAACCGGGAAATTTCCTGGCAAGCTGTCGCCAGCTCGTCAACGAGGGAACGCACATCCCGCTCGATCTGGAGCTATTCGGGGGCGTAAATATCACGGAACTTCGCGCGATCAGACCCACGATCCTTGCGGTGCTTCCGCACAGAGTCGGTCAGGGCGTAATTTATGTCCCTCTCGTGCTCAAAGGCCTCGCGCAATTTAGCGATTGCGCGATCCATCTCGGCTTCATCGAGATGGTCTGTCGAACGAATGGGAGGACTGGTTTCCTCCTCCTTCATATCTTTTGACGGACTCACAAGGTGGTCAACGCTTCCTTGTGGAGCTTATCTTAAACAGCCGTGACGATTCAATATCAAAGACGACTTACATCGTCCAGTGGAGGGGGTATTCACCCTCGTGGAACAGCTGGGAGCCCCGATCTCAGCTGATGGTGAATATAATCGGTCTCGTCAAGCGGTACGACGAGATGCACCATTTTTGATGGACGGCTATCGTCGAACGAATGCCCGACGCGTTCGTAAAGTGATTGCAAAGTCTCATTCCCTTTGTACATCTCAGCGTATTGCAAGCCCTCCAATTTGGCTGATTAGGAACAAGGGCCTCCTTAAGGCCACGACCAGATTTATCGACAATATTCTGGCATTTCTCTCCCCACGAGAGGCAAGATAAACCTGAATCTAGAAACAATTGGTGCTGTTTATACCAAGCACCGCTTGGAGACTTCTCTTTAAACTTATTGTGAGCTGAAATCAGTTTGATCAACCAAGCGTCACGGCCAACCTATTAATGTTGCCGATACATGAGTTCCACGCCTGCATCAACGAAACTTCGTCTCGGTCGCGGTTGCCGTGGTACCATCGATGTCTGAAAAAGACGTCGATGTAATACTCATCCTCCGTGCGATAATCACTCGCACTGACATCAAGACCACGAGTTCTTGACAATTTGAAGTGCGGAAGCCGACAACTACCAGTGGTAGTATCATACCACTTCTTCAGATTGCGTTTAATAAGCATCCCTGGTTAGTTTTCCGGAGCAGATCGTAACACATTACGATCTTGCTCCTTTTGCGCAGTGCCGAAATAAATGACGGCACTGCGATCACAGCACTCTCTGCGGATACTACGACTCCGATAAGCTGTGAAAAGTCAATGATATCATCGCGATTACTAACGTCCTCATGTTGCGCACTCACATCGTATGAATGCGAAGACGATCGATTCGATCTCCGCGACGAGTACTCATACTCGTCGGATAAACCGAAGATCTTATGGCGCAGAGTCTTGTCGAGACTGCCACGAAGTACGGTGGTCGTCGTTTCGCACCATCCGCTTTACTACTAGGGTTTGTACGCGACTTCGGGTCTGACGGGGTCCGACTCGCCCGAATAGATAACCTCTTTATCGGGGTCAACGTCCATGGGACTACCATTCGCAGCCGAAGCTGCGGATGAAGAAGCTGCACGTGGATGACCACGTGCACCGGCAACATTGGGTGTTGCAGGCTGCTTATCAACAGCAGCAGGCGATGAGACGCCCGCTGCCGAGTATTAGACTGCTTGCTCTCCGGCTGCACACATGGCGCAGCCGCTTCAGTGGCGGCATTGTTAGCGCAGCGCATATACAAACTTGTCTCGCCCTGAAAAGCTAGAATGATATGGTCAGAAACGACAAGTGCTTTCTTTCCCACAAAGCGACACAACGGTGGTCACTCTATTACCATCCATTCAAATCAATTACTAGAGTGACTGATGGCTAAGGGTTGTGATGTAACGGGGATAGCCCGTTACATAAGAATTAATACGAATGTATCAATTTTTGTATATTACCTATTTAGACAATGTTCAATTAACATTACTATAAAAGAGTTTATGTTGGTAGAACATCACCCACGATGGTAATGTTCCTGGGTGCTCCATTTCTCGGTTGATATCCACGGTACATCAACTGAATCAACCACGAATCGCAGCTAGACGCGCGCAATGGACATTGGTCAAGAACCCACATAGGAGGTTGTAGTTTGATATAGTTAGATGAAGACAAAGATTGTAAAATAAAGAAACATAGCTATATTAAATACAGTTATGTTTTTTACCTTAGACAGAGCTTTCTAGTTCTGTTTACTTCCTCGCGCTTCCTCACGCCACGTGAAAGTGACGTCGGAGTACGCAGCCTTGTCTTCGGTTAAAGCAAGGTCTTACCAATCATCTGTTAAGAGCGCGCCCCGTTACACTATAGGTCCACCCTTTTTAAGAGCGCTCTACTACAGCCGAATCAACACGGCAAACTGGTAGTGCTTGTGTGCTTAAACTGTAATATTACAGACCACAATCGATGATATGCACCACGTCTCTCTATTGATGTAGTTCGGTGATAAAGACCGGAACTGAAAACATTGAATAGAGGATTAAGGTGCAGATAGATTGGACACATTCAGTGGTAAGGGTTCGTAGTTATACGGTAGAAGTACGTTTGCATTATTCGTAAGAATTGACATTGCGCGCAATCTGAGCTCAGGCTTTGCGACTCGTTTGTAGTCCGCTTGTCTACGAATAGCAGTGTTAGAAATTAACCGTATCCTTCCACCAGGCTTACTCCCCGACACGACTTCGTTTCGAACCTATCGGAAAGTAACAACATTCGGCAACTCCCACAGAACCTGGTGCTCGTGTCAGAGTATCTCCACATCGTTCTCGACCAAAGCTACTCCTAAGACTGAACCTCTACATACGGACCTCTTGTGTCTTTACATATCCTGCGTGTGTGTTTGTTCACCTGTACATTGTGGCTCGACCTATTTCGTGTACACCACATAAAGTCACCCATCCTCCAGTCAAAAAAAAAGCGTCAATCGAACATGGCATCCCACGGCGACTACGAAGACGGCGAGATCTTAGAGGAGGGAGAGGACGTGCCGAAGTCCCCCTCTTCGACTGTGCAATGTCCTGCACCCGCTGTACCGTCTGCGAGCTTACCGCTGCTCCCCACTCCCAGTAGCTCCTCCCGCAAGCGTCTCCACTCGTCGATGATACCGAACGCAAGAGCTTCCGTCTCAACGTCTGTCTTTGACTCACGCCCGTCGTTGTGCCATCGCCAGGCCACGCGATACCGTCCTGCGCCATCGAGTGGATACACCAACGACCGCAGGAAGAGTGACGATTCGCAAGACACAGACCGTCGCGCGTATACTGAAGACTTAATTGTGAAATACCCGAGACAAGAGCCGCGCAGCCACGTGATGCTGAACTTTGCCACGTGGATGGCCGCTGCTTACAGCAGAAAGCGGCTGGATATTGAGGACGTGCAGCAGCTCGTGCTCCAGGTGCTGAGAGGCGGCAGCAAGAAAGAAGAAGGTCTTGTGAGCCCATTTTTACTGCCGTCGTTGATGCCTGGAGCACCGCTGCCTGACAAAGTCTGTATCGTGCTGCTCGAGAAGCTGCATCCATCGGTGGTGCAGAAATATCGAGCCAAGCTGAGCTTTTTCGATGGATGTTCGAGTGTTCCGGTAATGCTGGCGAAGCAGGAGCTGAACCAAGTGCGGAGGGTCGAAGCGCCCGTGCCAGAACTTGTGTACAAGTTTCCAAGACCAACGGTCGACACGCGTGAACTATCGATGGATGAACTGTTCTATGCACACGAGCTGACGTTTTTGATGAAGCACTCGGCTGGGTATACGGATGAATTGGTACTCTCGCCTATCGGCACGTTTATACGTAAAACGCAGCCTCTCGGAGGCACGTGGGAGCTTGATGGCGACTTGTTGCATTTAAAATGGAGACAGCCCACGACAAAAGTAGCTTCTGGGGCTGACAAGGATACGGTAACAACCCACGACACTGGCATCGAAGAAGAAGACGCCGATGCGTACACGCTTGATGTGCTTGTAAGTCAGGATGCCAGTATGCACGAATTTCGTACAGATTCAGTGACGGATAAGGTCTACGCGCACAAGGTGCCGGAACATTTGGCCAAAAGGCGTCGTGTGAACGAAAAGCCGCGCTCTATCTGGCTATCTCTCGCTAAAGCGATCTCTGTAGGCGTTCCCCGCTCGGCCGACGGAACGGTGATCCGACATGATCGAGTGCAGGCAAATGGCTCATCAAAGCATCAGCATGATTCCACTGTAGCTGATGAAAATGGTGGTACCGCAAAGAGTGACAACGAAGAGTTGAATCGCGAGGCATTTGACTTTTATCTGCTTTCGCTCGAAGAATTGAAGCAGCATGGGTACCCGACCGACGTGGAGGAGGAACAGCGTCAACTCATGGAAGCTACGAACGGGAATACGCGCGATACGTTTGTGGCTACAGCTGCTCGATCTACAATTGCAGAAGAAGATTCTGTCTCTGCCTCAGGCGACGACGATGAAGGATCGGCGGTAGATTTGGGCGAGACATCAGCAAGTGAGTCCGCAGATGGATGCTTTATTTATGCGCTGGACTGTGAAATGTGCGAGACGGACATCGGTATGGAACTTACGCGTGTAACGGTTGTTGACATTAAGGGTGCTGTTGTGTACGATCGGCTGATCAAGCCTCAAAGCACGATTATTAATTACCACACGGCATTCAGTGGAATATCAGCAGAGACCTTGCAGGACACGAGTTACATTGTGGCTGATGTCCAGCGGGACCTGACGACAAAATTTTTGAGTAAGGATACAATCCTTGTGGGCCATTCGCTGACAAGTGATCTGCGTGCTTTGCGCTTGGTGCATCTGAAGATCGCTGACACGTCCATCTTGTTCCCTCATCAACGCGGCTTTCCGTTTCGCACTTCGCTGAAATACTTGACGAAGACATACTTGAAGAAAGATATCCAGATGCAGATTGAAGCTGGGCACGATTCGGCTGAGGATGCCATTGCGTCGCTGGAGCTGTTGCTCATGAAGGTTCGTGAAGGGCCCTGGCTTGGCATTCCTAAGGCAGTGTCTTCGAGCGGTGCTTTTGATTCGATTGTGGACAAAGTCTTTGCTCTGGATAAGAGGATGGCAATGCTTCGTTTGCAGAGCGCCAGCAAGATCGAGACAGCAACATCAGCTGACAGGGGTGAAAGTTCTGCGCCAGAGCGAAAGCCATGGGATTTGTATGCAAGCGGCGATTTGAAGGACCGTTCACAGAGCCCGTTTTGTCATGCTCAGGCGGTAAAGAGTAAGTTTGATGCGTGCACTTTAGCTTCGTCAACTCCAGCCACAACTTCGGCAGGCGCGCTGTCGAAAGTTGAATTATGCTCGTCGTGGGAAGTGCTAAAGACCAGTATCCGGAACACGTTGGGTGCTGAGCAGCCAGATCTGTGCTGGGTTGAGATTGAGCCTTCAAGCGCAAGTGCAGCGCTGTGTAATGACTTCGTAGACAAGCACGATCTGTGGATGGCCGAACAAAAAGTTTACTGCGAGCAGGTCGATGCATTCTTGCAGCAACTTTATGAAGACGCGCTACCGAAAGGCACACTGCTGTTAGCTCTCCCGCAAGGTGATCTAAGCTTGTTGCGATATCTCAAGGGTCTGCGAACACGCTCCAAGTGGCGTGACGCCGCTTCAGGCTGCGATGATTTAGCGCCCGAAAAGCTCCACGCTGCGGTGGGCGATGCGTTTCACGGTGTCATGGACAGCTGTTTGTTCATGAAGCAGAAACAGTAGATGGAAATAAAGTCCATCTGAAATAGATGAGTGGGGCTATGGCCATGTATGAGTCATGAGTGAAGGCTGGCAATAAGGCAGATACACGATCGGCGCGATAGTGGGCAATATGAGTGAGTTCGACGCGATATGGTGGATGTGGCCTTAGCGTAGACGGCACAAATGACGACTGTCTTGTCATTGTGTACGAGAGAGGTCATGGTGAACAGTCTGACCGGGCATCGCACTGCGTGGAGGTGGTATATATTCGAAGGTGTCGACATCCATGGCGAGAAGTGGCGATTTGCAGAATGGAGGACTTTATGGTGGACAATGAGATACAGTCAAGGCGATGGATCACAGCTGCTGCTGCTTGACGACGATGTGTTGGTCGATGTTATTGCCTCGAAGGTCCGTCCAGTGCCGTATGCATGATACCTCTGCTGATAGTTGAGCAAGAATCGTCACGAAAAACTGCGCCGCTGCGGGAGACAAACATGAAGTCAATGAAAGACGCGAGGTCGGAAGCTTAGCATTTCATGGTTTCTGTTGGGCATACTGTGATTGGTTGGGGCAGCGGTTGACATTGTTGACGTCACATGACACAACCGACGGTCTAGATGACGGCAAATAAAGACCTGAATTGCATGAGCTGTTCAGTGCGGGCGTGCAAAGAAGGCTAGTCGCGACTGGACTGTGAGGCAGCCACAGATAGTCGAGAGCATCATCAGGAAGCTGTATCGGGGACGTCTGTGCTTGTTGACTCCTAGGTCAGCACGCGAATCATATCATGCAAGTATCACATGGAACAACATCAGTGGCAGGATCAACGAAGGGTTTGAGTGTTGTGCAATTCTCTGCCCACTTATTCAGTTGCGGATGCTACAGATGACAAAAGCTGGACTCGAGTGTCGGGTGTCGCTGATGAAGATGGTGAGAATGTCGGAGTGCACGGCTTCGAGAGGTCTGCTGCATAGATGTGACGATCAAAATCATCACTTCGTCGATCGTCCGAAGCTCACAAGAGCGGCAGGACAGAGGGTCCAGAATACGAAAAAACGGTGCAAGCATTAGCACAACCGGTCGAGCAAAATGGACGTAACACTCTCAATTGATGCCTTGTATTGTTGTCAGAATTCCAGCTGTCGAGTTCTATTGCTTGTGTTTACAAAAACCTGCGAGCAATAATCAATCACGTGCCGTGTGCAGCAAGACACCGCCGAATCAATGTCGCAGCCGCGCGAGTAGCGAAAGCACAGCGATAGGTGAAAGACATGATTGTTCTGGCCGCTGTGCAGCTTCCAGCTTACTCCGAGTCTTCTTCATCCACTGTGCGTCGCTTCTTGTGGCTGCGGATGACCATCTCTTCTTCGTCATCCTCGTCCTCGCCTTCGTCCATACCAGCATCGTTGTCGCTCTCTGATCGATCACCGTCACGCTCACGCTCGCGCTGGCGCTGGCTGCTGCGGTACTCGTCAAAGCCACCACCGGGCACAGGACGACGAGCGCCATTCTTTCGCTGAGCAGCCGGGCTCTTCCGCTTCCCGTATTGTTCCTTGATAGCACCCACGTGCTCATCATCTTCATAATCCATGGCATCGTAGCCTTCCTCCAGGAACTGCACATCCATGCGTGAGGAGCGTTCGCGGTCAAACTCGTAGCCCTGGCGTGCCTTCTTGCGATTTTGCAACCTCAGCTTCTCGTCCGTGATCTTCACGCGCTGTTCCTGCTCGCGCTCGCCGTCCAACTCGGAGATGTACTCCTTCATTTTCTGCACACTCTTATTATGTTTGGCGCGCATGGACATGGTGAGGCTCTGGTGTGACTTGCTGGCAGTAGTCATCGGACGAATCGTAAACTTCTCCCTTAGTCGTGCGTGACACTCCAACACACTCTCCTGTCCCGGCACCACGTCGTCATTATCCTGGAAGTGCGGACTATCGCTCGCCATCTCATTCACAAACAAAAACGAGTTGGCGAGCTTCTGACGAGACAACGTCAGTGCTTCTTTGCCCACAAACATAGAGAACGTGCCGTCCTCCCACTGCACCAACTTGGCGTTGGATTCCCGTAGCGGCCTTTTTGTCGTCTCATCCAGCAGGACGCGACCTGTCGTCGGGTCGCGCTTGTACCGCCAGCGCACGTAGTTGCGGTACAACATCTCGTCGGACGGATTGTCCATATCAACCCGAATAGCTTCCTTCGTATACGGCTCAGGAACGAGACGCAAGATGTTGGGCATTTTGCTGATAAAGTACTTGGCTGTCTTGGAAGCCTTGGGAATCCGGGGCAGCCAAATGCTGTCCGAGTAGCCACTGTCACCATCACCCCCTCCCGAAGCGCTGCGGTCCCCTACATCATCGCGAAACAGGTCTTCATTGCTGCGTGCTCCTTCCCGAGCGGGCGATTCCTTGACACCTCTAGATAGTCATAATCAATACAGCTTAGTACTCCAACAACGTCTTTCAAGCCGGCACACGGTGCTGCGCACGTACGACGCTTTAAACTCTTCTTCGCCCGAGTCATAGTCCGAGCCAAACAAATCTTCCATCTCCTTGTCCTTCTCGCTCAAGACCGCCTCTTTCTTGGCTGCCGGCTGCACCCCTCTCCTGTCATCACCCTCTCTCTTGTCATTATCCGCCTCCTGCTTCTCCTCGTTCCTGTCGTCGCTGACGCGCTCAGCCGCGTCAGCCGACTTACCGCTCGCCGGAGCCTCTCCACTGGACTTGAGCGAAGACCCGCCCAGGTCAAACTCGTCTTCGCTGCTGCTGCTGCTGCTGCCTGACGGAGCTTCCGGAGACGACGCCATCGCCGCTCGCCTGCGAAACAATCGGAGCGAGGGCCGTCGTGCGAGTGGTACACGGTACCATGTTGTACCCGATGCGTGGTACACACACCTGAGCGAGCTTGGGTCTGTCCGACGCCAACTGTCTTCTTGTCCATCACGCGGTTGGGTCGCGGCTATGGAGCAGATCATGCAGATGCAGGACGATATCCACAAGCTCAAGAAGCTCATGGACTCGGTGTTTGAAAAGATGTGAGTGCAATGGACTCCAGTGCTGCGGTAATGAGGTGCTCGTCAGGGACGTGTGGGACTCATTAGTTGCTTATTGTCGTCTTGGGCAGCGAAAACCAGTCGGACCAGAACCCGTACGACACGATGGACGCCTATTGTGAGTCCAGACTCGAGGAGGCGTACGATTTACTGTGGTGCTGTCGTTATTTGCTGACTGCAATGGTGGGGCTTTGACTGTTGTAGCGGACAAGGACCGAATCGTCGAGATGCTCAATCGCCTGAGCTCCAGGGTACGCCTCGCAGTGACGCTGCTGTGATGCGTTGTATTGTGTTTGTGGAATGGAGAGCGAGAGATGGAGGAAGAGAGGCGTCGAGCTGACTGTGGCTGCGTTAGATGGCAGATGCAGACATGTCGAACCTGACCGCAACGCCAACAAAAGATGCCACGGCTGAGGACATTGCAGTAGGAGAGCACAAGAGATTGTTGATGGTTTCTAGGAAAGAGCGTGATGTTGACTCACACGCATTCGTGTACAGGAGCTCAAGCAAAACATCAATCGCATCGAGGCGGAGCGCCAGAACATCAACCGCCGCGCCGGTGCGTCGCTTAAGGGAGTCTTGTAGTGCGTTCACATGACTCCGCCATGAATGTCGCTCGCAACGATGCGTTCCTTGTCTCGTTCCCCCCTTTGCTATCGTCCGTAAACTCGAATCTATGTCTGGCTTTATTGGCGATTATTTCCACGCATCGAGCACATCAGCCGGTTTGGTCTAGCTCGGACAACGTCGCAGAAGTTTCACTCGTTGAAATCAAACTCGTGCGAATTGGCCCAAATGTCGTTCGTAATGGCCTTTACGTCCTCTTTCTGCGCACCGTCGTTTAGTGCTTTCTTTGGTGACTGCGCTGATGCCGGAAGAGGGGACTCGAGTTTGCCAGTCGACGTTGGCCGGTCCTGCGAATCAATGCTGGAACGCTCGTTGTCCTGTTCAGCACGCTCCTCATGCGCCACCTCCTCTGCAATCTTTTCCCAAATCCCGGTCGTCTTCAGATAAACCTCTAGCGCTGAGGCACTCTCAAACCGATCTTCGCCGGCCACCGCGGTCTTCGGATTGGCACCTGGCGTAAAGTAGTCGTACTCAAAACGTCCTGGACGATAAAACCAGCCGCGTTTGACCAGCTTCTGCACAACAGTACCGAACTTTAACTTCGGCATCTTCGCCAACCTTGCCTCCTCCGCTTCCATAGCCCGGGCAGCCTCTACTTCGGCTTGGTACAGACTCCGAGACACAAGCGAAGTACTGTCCTTTTTGCTAGCTGCTTTCTTGGACGATTTCTTTGCCTTCGCCACAGCAGGTAGGAGCTCCATGCAATGCCAAGTTTCGCTTCCGAGCTGCCTGTTGCTCCAGCCGCTGATGGTGTCGGTCCAGAGCTCTCTCACGCTCTTCTTCCACCGCCGTCTCGTGCTCTTCTCGAAGTTCGTTTTCGATACGCTTCCACGTGCCACTCATCTTGAGAAACTCCTCGAGGTCTGCTTGCGACTGAAAGTAATTGACCTTTATCTCCTTTGTCGCGTCCGTGTAGGTTGGCGAAAAGTAATCATACTCGAATGTCCCACTGCGGTGGTACCAACCCTCATCCTGAAGCTTTGCGTACACAATTCCAAAAGTGCACCTAAACGCAGGAGGCGTGAAATTGAATTCGTCTCGCTTGACGGCGTCCAGACCCGTGTGTGGTGTAGACTTGGCTTTCCGCTTTGTTTTCGCTTTCTTTGTACTTGCACTGCCGCCCGTTTTCGCTCTTTTGTTCGATGTCGAGCTCTTCGAACTCACGTGAGAAACGGAGGACGAAAGTTTGCGTTTGGCGAGAGCTGAACCAGGTGACACGTGCTTCGCAGGAGTGATGAACGTGGTACTTGAGTCTGAGCTCAAAACAGCCTTCTTCAAGCCCTTTACCCCTGGTGAGGGGGTCTTGAATAGTGACGTCTTGACACTTTTGGGACCAGGTCTCGGCTGCGTCTTACGTGGAGCAAAGGCAACGACCTGATGGCCCTCGGAAGAATCGCCCAGGTCAATGTCACCCACCTCCAAGTCCAGACACTTGAGCACCGCACGCTTCTTTGTCTGGAAGATCGTCTCGTTTGGCCGAAAGTTCTCGAACTCGGTATTCGGTTTGACGAACCATGTCTCCGCACCACACATCATCGTAAACCATCCGAACTCTTTTTCCGCAACTGGCCAGAGCAGCTCCCAAAGCTCGTTGTCCTCCGTGTCCAGCTCTTTCTCGCCTGCAACTTGTATGAACTTCCAGCATGCCTTTACTTTCGAGTCAAACACGTTAATGTTCGGCTTAAAGTTGAAAAACTGGACGCCTGGCATCGCACAGAACAATGTGTTTTGACCCTGAGCAATCTGCCAGCCGCCTGCCTCGACCAGCTTAGCCACAGCCGGAAACACTTTCGTAAACTTTCCTTCGGCACCCTCGGCACGATACTCTTCAGCAACGTTGTCGTCGATCGCCTCTATCCCGTCTTTTTCTCGTTCCAATCTACCAGCAGCAGAGGCAGAGCTGGTGACAGGAGATTGTAACGTCTTTTCTGCCGACAAGCACGAACCCGCAGATGCTTGAGCCTTCTCCGAAGACTGTTTCAGATCCAGCGACGAGCTAGTTTCCACTGTAGAGACATGATCCTTGACGGAAGATGCATGAGCTTCGTCAAGAGGTACAGGAGCCTTCTTCACAGGAGATGTACCCCTCTTCATTGGAGTCTTGGCAGCCGATGCACGCTCTTCCATAGGCGACTGAAATGTCAATGAGCTCACTAGTAGCTCCTCCACTTTCCCCGCTTTTGTTGTATCGTTCATACACTCTGGCAACAGCACTTGCGTATTCGAACAGTCCATATCTTGGTCTGCGTCGCCGTTCACGCTGCTGTGACGAGAGCTATCGTGCACCTCGCGCTCCTCTCCCTGATCCCCTTGATGCAGCACATCCCGCGCGTCACCACGCTCAGTAAAAGGCCAGTCCTTGTCGCCTTTAAAGGCGTTCGTCTGCAGTGAATCCATCGCGTCCATCCTGTCAACCCAACCACGTGATGCACGTCGATCGGTATGGCGTGAAACCGGTATTTTTCCGTGGCGCGCACTCCCCGAAACCTCGCGCTCGATCGCTACCGGTACATCCTCGCGGTATCGTACCGCCTGGCGCGATTCCAGCAATCCCTGAGTGTCCCCACTAAGTACGATTGCGCGCCACCCGTTGCCCCAGTCGGCACTTCCGCATCCAACGCGCGATCAACAGACGACAACGTCAACAGAGGGAAGAGAGAGTGTGTGTGTGTGTGTGTCTCGTTTCTCCTTGTGATTGTGCCCTATGACAGCGCTAAACGCCGGAAAACCCCTCGTGGGCGCGCTGCACTGGGTCAAGCTGCCGCTACTGCCGGTCTCCTGGCCCGCCTGCGTGTACCAGAGCTACTCGGACGCTGTCTCGCACACGCACGACGTGTTGGCGCTGCGCAACGCGAAGCCCGCGCTGGACGCCGAAGACCGCGTGATCTACTTCTTTGGCGTCGGTCCCCGTGCGTGTCGCGTGGTCGCGGCGGGCGCGGCGCCGCCCCTGCAGCTCTGTGTGGTTCACAAAGACGACCTCATGCTCGACGACTGGACGCCGTCGGCGGACGACAGCGCGCAAGGGGACCAGTGCCCAGCACCTGTGGGTTATGCAGCCCGTGCACCGCACAACGCGTGCTTTGTGCGGGCGTGTCAAGAGGCGCAGGTGTATGCACAGGACGTACGCAACGATGAAGAAGCGAGAGAGCTCTTTGTAGCGCTGCTGACAAGGACCAACAAGGGCGAGACAAAGGAGGACGAAGCTGTTGGGACGGCTGTCGACGAGAGGAACAAGCAGAAGCTACTGACGCAGCAGACAAAGCACAAGACAAAGAGTGTTGCCGAGCTGCTTGAGCTGCCGACGATGAAGACGATCGTGGCCAAGTGCTGGCAGCAGATGCTCGTGGCAGGATGGGAGACGATGGTACAGCAAGACGGACACGTGCTGTATAAAATGCCCGGCACGAGTTTCTTTGACGTCGTGCCAAACGTCAATTTGTTTGACTCACTGGAAAAAGCCTGCGCGAAGTACTTGAGTGAATGGGTCCGAGCAACGGGTATATACGCGAAGGACGACAGTTTCGAGTTGACGGAGTTTCTGTGGCCCATGGCAGCGGCAAGCGGCTGGGAAAGCATGTCGACGACCACCGCGACGTTGTATAAGAAGGCAGACACGCCGTTTGACCAGTGGGTACCGAATGTGACGATCTTTCGCACCAAGACTCAAGCAGTGGCAAAGTACTTGGAAGAGTCTGGACTTGTTGAGTCCGAGTGTGACGACCCAGTCGAAACGATAGAGAAGTCCGTCACAGAGTCCGGTGCTGACGAATTCGATGTCGAAAGCGAAGTGCATCCACTCGAGAACGAGGAGGAGCCGAGTGATGAAGATTGTGATGCCAACGAGGAGTGTGTTGACGCAAACGGGAAAAAGAACCACCGAGAGCTGGACGATGGCTTCTCCGTGACAAAAGCAGTGCGTAAAAAGTGTGTGCCGAAGTCGAAGAAAGGTGCGAGAAGGGGGCAGCCTTCAACGGCAGTCGCAAAGACGACAGGTAAGCAAGTCAAAGCCGTCAAAAGCGCACCGAAGGACAAAAACCCGACCAAATCGATCCCTTCCTTCGAGATGTCCTTTGGTAAGCTGGAGAAGGAGCTGAAGAACCGCGGATGGTACTGGAAAGCTGGAAGTCTGCAGTGGTTGTACTATCAACCCCACTGTAAGACGACAGACAAGAGTTGTCTCGAGCCCAACAAGGACTTTTTTCGTGGTCGCGAGGAGCTAGAAGCGTATGCTTATAGTAGCGGACTTTATGACCGTGTTCGCACGAAGCTCGAAGAAGATCATTATGAGCAATACGTACTTGACAGTGAAGAGGGTATCGGCGGTGACGGCAACACGCTAGATCACACGCAGTCTGTGAAAGCTTTGGTCCATCCACGACTGGCTAAACCCAAGCCGCAGCCGAAGAAGACTCTAGCGCGACGCGACGTTGGCTATGCTAAATCGTCAAGCCAGTTCCGAGGTAGTCGCTCGAAGTCAACAGCGAGGGGAATGACAACTCAGACAACTCTTGCCGAGGTCAAGTTCGGCGAGATCTGGCGAGTCTTGTCCGAAGATGGCTGGCATTACTTACCGGGCAAAATTGAGTACGACTACTTCAAACCTCACTGTGCCACCATAAGGGACGGCACAGCGGGAGTCGACTTCTTCCAGAGCAAAGACCTACTGGTGGAGTACTTGCAAACTAGCGGACTTTGGGACAAAACGGCAGTGCGTGTTCGAGCTGAAGCAGCCATGGACTCGAGCGACGAAGACCTGATCGATAGCGATGACGAGGCGACAACTCCTATGCAAAAGCGCAAGCGCGAAGCAAGCACGCCTGCTGTTCGGCAAGAAGGCAAGAGACACAAGAATGCTTCATTGTTTTGTACTCCAATTGACGGCAGGCGAGCGGCTGTCATTGATGCTACTGTTGACGATGACAAAGAGATTGACAAGACCATCTCCCCTGACGCTGCGGGATTGAAAGGCAAAGATGGCCAGAAGGATGTACACGGGCGCCAGCCATTACGAAATCTCTCGAACAGCTTCACGCCTACGTCAGATGTAGCAACGAAGAAAACGCGTTTGATAAGCGCTAGCAAAAAGGCCGCGACGGAACCTGCGAAAAGCGTCGGTCCTCAAGATATGACGTTAAGCGCAGTTCAGAAGCTAACATCAGCGTACATCCCAACAAACTTTCGGTACCGTGAGAAGGAGTTCGGTGAAATCTGCGAGTTCTTCCGAAGCAGCTTTGACGGAAAAGATCACACCAGTCTATACATTTCTGGAGCACCCGGATGCGGCAAGACTGCTTTGCTGAAGTCGGTTCAGTCGGATATCAATGATCTTTACTGGGTAATTCTGCGTGCTGGCTCTCGTATGCATGACCACTTTACTAACTTTGCCACGCATTTTGTCTCCATAGGAATGCTGTCCTGAGCAAGCGAACACGAAGCCTGTCTGGTGCCACGTCAACGCAATGACACTTGTCAACTCGTCCGCACTGTTTTGTAAGCTCGCGGAAGCTCTGACGAAGAAATCGTTTTCACACGGAAGTCAGGCTTTTGAGGCCATCGAGCGCGCCACGACTCGCAGACTAAAGACGTCCAAAACGATGTGCGTTATTGGTTATTCGCCATTGACAAGCGCGATGCTTTTGTCGAGGCTGACGGCACATTGTTTTGCTCTTTTGCATCAGGATCCTGATCCTGGACGAGATCGACACGCTCCTGAACAACAACGGAATCGAACTCGATCTGTGCCGGCTGTTCGAGCTCGCCCACCGGACTTCACACAGCTTCATCCTCGTTGGAATTGCCAACCAGGTCGACTTCACAGAGCGACACCTACCGATGCTGAAGCAACGGCTGCCAGACTGCTCCCCGCGAGTCGTCGTCTTTGAGCCGTACAAACACCAGGTCATCGAGCAGATCCTCGTCGATCGTCTTGGCGGACAAACGGCGGCTTCCAAGCTCGTAAGTTCTCACGGTATCTCTTTCTTGGCTCGCAAGATCGCATCAACGACCGGCGATATAAGACTAGCCGTCGACACCTGCCGTCGCGTCCTGCAACACAAGCTAGACGAAGGGGGCAAGGAAAACTCGGACAAATCGTCGGGCGACAATGAGCATGGACGGCCACTGCCGCTCACGGACATGCTGCGTATTATCAAGCACGCTCTCGAGTCCAAGAGTACCTCGGCGATTCGGTCGCTACCACGCAACTTGCAGATGATTCTGTTTGCGTCGACTCGACTGCTCATTGTGACAGCTAATCGGGCCGCTGCGGAAGGGAGCGAGGCGACACCACTGTTTGGTGTGAATGAGTTGTACGCGTGCTACTGTGAAGTGAGCAAGGACGCTGGAGTGTTCAAGCCGTTAGCCGAGCGCGACTTCCGGACGGCGCTGGATACGTTGGGCAAAGAGGGTCTCATAGCAGAAGCAGAGCTCCGGAAACACCTGATCAAGCTGCTGTTCAGTACCAGCGAGCTGCTGCAGAGCTTCCGCCAGGACGCGTTCTTCTCGCGGCTCGTGTAATGGCTCAGCAGTGGACGTAGGTGTCGTGGTAACGGACGTTGCGGCCTTTGTCGCTTGGGTATTCATCATTCGCCGACATAATAAGCTGACGATGAAAGTTGACCGCGTGCTCTTACATGCTTTGCTTGTTCAAGAGTCGTGCGGGGGAGAGATTACTAAAGGTGCTACCGTAAGATTGAAGCGCGCCTGTCCACAGTTCAGCAACACGGACACACGAGCAGGAGACATGAGATACACGGATACCCACATGCGGATCGGATGCGGGTAAAGACGTGTTGGCTGTAACCTCTGTAACCTCTGCTCATCCGTGTTGCAATGCAGTGCCGCCTCTCGTGTCACACATCGTGCCTACCTCCAGGCGCAGTTTTCGTGTGGCGCATGTACGTCTAAACAAGGCGGGCGAATGGTCAAAATAGCGGTAAATTAGTGGATCTAACACATATCTCGGCGCTCTGACTAGGCGGCGAGAATACTGTACAGCTCGTGGGTTGTGTGTGGGTGTGGGTGTGGGCTGTGTGTGGGTCCGGCGTGGCAGACCAATCGCTTGGTGCATCATCCTTGACGCGTGCCGGTCCAGTCGAGTTGAGGAGGTGTTACTTCCTCGAGCTCAGTTGTTCAGCATGGAGCGGAACCAGTGCTTCAATGATGTGTGCGTGCTGGACTTGGTGATGAACATGTGCTCGCTGTGCTTGCTATTGTTCCGGTGCGAGTCATGGCCTGATGACGACCACGATCGTCGTCGAGGCAACTGCGCTCCTGATCCCGACAAGTTCGACGAAGAAGACGCGAAAGGAGGACCACTAGCGACTGTCAACTGCTGCTCTGACGTCCTCGACGTCACCACGACGGGCTGCGCGCTCGCGTTGCGCGAAAGGAGCAGCTCGACGGTCTGAAGCTGGCTCATGCGGCTGGCTTTGAGCAGAGGGGACTCGTTGCCGAGTGTCACGGCATCCACGTTGGCCCCGTGGTCCAGCAGACACGCAGCAACGGCGGTGTTACCGCGCTGAGACGCCAAATGGAGCGCCGTGCAGCCATCGTGTGTCACGTCGTCCACCGGCACCTTCCCCACTTCAAGCAGGAGCTTCACGCAAGCAAGCTGGTTCTCTTGGGCCGCAATGTGCAGCGCGGTCTCGCCACTGGGTCCGACGGCTGTGCACTTGGCTCCTTTCCCGAGCAGAGTCTGGACCACCGCTTCTTGGCCACGGGCGCAGGCCAAGTACAGCGGCACAATGCCACTGCCGTCTCGAGCGTGCACGTCAGCCCCCATCTTGACCAGAAGCATGACGGCCCTAGCGCTGTCGTTCTTCACTGCCAAATGCAGCAGCGAGCTCTGTGACGACTTCTCGCGTGCGTCCAGCAACAGTCGGGGATCGTACATCCTGGTCAGACACTTGAGCAAGCGGTAGTCTGATAACCGCACGGCGTCAAATGCACACTGGACGATGTTCGCCCTCGACGCGGCGTCTTTGCCGCCCCCGAGCAATACGCGGATCAAGCCCGCGTGTTCCAGTGCTGCTGCCGAGCACGCCTTCTGCAGCGACGAGCTCGAGATCAACGGGACGTGGGTGCGTTCGTGCGCCTCTGCGCCCTTCTTGTAAAAGAGGTGGTGCACTGCGCTCGTCCGCTTTCGGGCATCCACGTTTGCAAACGTCACCAACGTGCGTACCACGTCCTCGTGTCCGTGACTTGCAGCCATCACCAGAGCATCTTCGTCGATCCGAGCGCCGTACCGCATCAAGAGCTCGAGAATGTCCAGTCTCCGGTTCTTGCACGCAATGCCAACGCACGTCCGTCGAGTCTGCTGCAATGCAACGACAGCGTCGCCATTGCGTCTCCTGTGGTTCCGAAGGTGACTCGACAATGTCGTGGGCTGCCGAAGAGCTCTGGACGGGCGGTACCAGCTCCCAGTGCCATTTGGATCGGCGTGGCGCTTGAGCAGCAACTTGACAATCTTTGTGCTGCCTGTTTCACAGGCCACTTCCAGCGGCGTGCGGCCACAGGCGCAGCTCGAGTTCACGAGCTTGATCAAGTCGGTGCCAAAGTAAAAGCTCAGCAAGTGCTTGAGCGCCTGGAGCTCGGCGCGCCTGCAGGACGCGTGGATCGGCGACGGCATCGTGCGGATCGGACCCATCGGGCGCAAACTCTGGCAGCTGCAGTGGTCGTCGGGAGTGCTGCCGCTGCTGCTGCTACTGCCTGAGGCACTCGCGTGCTCGAGCTCGTGCTCTGGCTCCGTCTGGACGAACGACACCTTTTTCTTCTTCTTCTTCAAGAGCTCCTTGTGCCTGTGTGCTTCGGGGACGCTCGCGATGGACGCCAGCGACGCGGACGTGGACCGGTTCCGAAGGATACTCGCGCAGCTCTGGGACGCCGGCAGCGCGATTGTCACTGGCTCTGGTGCTGTCCGAAACGCTTGGCGCAGGTCAATCGTCTGGTGGTCAAACGCGACGGCAGTGCGTTGGCGCAAGAGCTCGACGCGCTGAGGCGTGCGATGGCGCAGCTCGTTGGCCCGCAGTTTCAGCGGCGCGGACGGCACGAGGGGCTCGTCGGAAGACAAGAGCTGGAGCTGCATGGAATGTATCGATGGAATGGATGGACGGAATGAGAGGCCGTGCAGTGCAACACGTAGCGCTATTGCTACCTCTCGAGACAGCCACGAAACAACGAGTCAAGCGCTGTTGCGACTGTTGCTGCTGCTACGCTGCGACTCGAGTGCGTGCGTGCGAGCGACGTGGCAAATTGCAAAGTGGCCAGCGACGGCGCAAGCTACGGACGCAGCAAACGGACCAGCGGGCGACCCGTGTGCGTGAAGTAAGCGGACGGCCGCACCGGCGCCGCGCGGTTGTATCTCTCGGATTCAAGAGGTTTGCATGTTTTTGGAGCTTCGTTTCAGTCTGCGCACTGAACTTGGAACGGCGACAGCGCGTCGGGTGGCCAACTATGGCGAGTGGCGGCAAAAAAGGAGCTGCACCCACAAGTTGATCCCTTCCTCCGCCTCCTCCTCCTCCTCCTCCCTCTGTCCCTTTTCCCCTTCGTTCCTCGTTTTCCTGTCTTTCGGTCGGTCGGTCCGTCCGTCCGTCCGTCCGTCCGTCTGTCGTCTTGTCTTCAATGTAGCAGCGCCTCCACCTTTCCACATCACTGTGATCCACGCGCACATGTCGCGCCCTGCACAACAAGCGACGAACGTGTAAAGGCGCTGCTTTGCTCCATTGCGTTGATCTCGCGCGCCAGATGGCCCGTGCACAGCCTGGAGACACGGGATCACACTCGTGCAGACGCTCTGCTGACCATACGCCGCCCGACGCGGTTGTTTCACTGGTTATTGCCACCGCCCGCCTGTCGTTTAACGTGAGTAGCTACGAAAACGACGACGTGCTTCAACCCCTTGCGCGTTGTCAGAGCCCTCGCGAGGTGGGAGCACACGATGCGTAGCGAAGAATCTCAGTCGTTTATTGACTGTGCTTGGAAGGAAGGAAGGAAGGAAGGAAGGCAGGAAGGAAGGAATGGAGAAGAGAGGAAGGAGAGAAGGACAGATGGATGGATGGAGGATGGATGGCGGGGTGATGGTTCCGACAAGTAGACCTTTGACTCGGTAGCTCGCTGGCCTCAGTGCAGAGAGAGCTGCAGAGCAACTGGTGCTGGTCATTGCGCTTGCCAGACACTGGTACGAAACGGCCAGCACGAGTGGTCGTGACGGGTCTCATCAGTGCGACTGCGGCGACGCAGCAAAGAGACAGACAGAAGTCGCACCATCACGGGCGAAGGCCCTCGAGTTCTTTTTCAAACAGGCAGGACACGGGGCGATGGATCACGCAGTCGCTTGGATTGCGTTCTTTTTGGCACTTGACCTTTAGCTTCTCGACGACGGTGGGCGACTGTGATTGTCACTGCTGCCCAGCCATCCATCATCGTCATCAATGTCCTCACACCGTCACTGGTGTTGAGTACAGCTGCGTGGTGGGGGTACAGCTGCGCCAAGAAGCACCTCCAGTGCTGCTTCGGACCGTGGCAGCATCTCGACCGACAATGACCTGGAGGTGAAGCGCATGCTGTACCGTTGGATCATTGCCATGCAGCCAAAAGCTATCGAGTCTGAGGACGTTGTCGTTTGGTTCACGTGCAATTGGGGTCGGGGTGGCCACTGGTCAGCAGCCGGTGGATACCACCACGTGGGCTGAAAGCACATGACCGGCGCGTCTGTTCAAGCGGTGCTGTGCTGTGCTGTGCTGGCCACGGACCGTGACATATCGTGCTGGCACATTTCCACAGTTGCTGGCATTTCTGCTCGTTGTACCGCCGAGTGATACTGTTATCGCTTGCTGCTTCGACGTCCGTGTGACATGCAGGGGACGCTCGAGACGCTGCACGCAGCCACGTAGGTGTCGACCTCCAGCTGCCGGGTCAAGTCAGTGGAGGCTCTCAGTCAAGACATGCGCCTTCGCCGCGACATGACCGACGTGGACATTTCTCATCTGATCACAAACGTGCCGTCTCTACACTGGCTACGCTCTGATACACTATGGATAACGCTTCCCGATGTTCTGGCCCTTTCCAGCCTCGCGCGTGCGAGGAGAGTCTGAGTAAGTCCGTACGCGACAACGTCAAGTACCCTCAACAGCCAGCGAAATAATTGAAGCCGTGGGCTGCTCTGTTCCCGCGCAAGATCAACTCGAACACGGCAGTCGCGTGGTGCTCGGAAACGTCAGGACTGTCGTGTGTCGCTCGGGTTGCCGGATCGCCCTGAGACGGTATCAGCAGTCGCGAACAATGCGATCGAAGCAGTCGGGCAAAGATCGACTGTGGCTGAGTGTGGCTTGAGTTTCGTGGCTGTTGGACCTAATCGTGACGCCTTCTCGTCCCCAAACGGTCTGCACGTAATGCACTTTGATACAGACAGTCGTGCTGTCGAAACGCCTGGCAGTCGATTGAGAGGGGAGGGGGCTGCACTCTGGTTTTTTTGCGTCCGAGCAGAGGCATCACAGTCACATTCATCGGCTATGAAGGAGGGAGAGCATGTACCCCAAAGCTAGCGACTCGTGTGCGCTATTGTTTCCAGATCCGATCCGCAACGAGCTACCTCTCCTTCTACCAACTCAAGGGTACCATCGTTAGCTACAGTGAGGAGCCAAGCGCAGCCTTCGATTCGATTCGCCTATCTGTAGCAACAGAAAAAATCAGAAGGCAAGCGCAGCCACTCCTGTGGTTTTCATGGCACCTGCCACGTGGATCTTGCAATCCTTCGGAATCTCCGGGCCCGCTGGCCTCGATCTGAAGTCCATTTTCGACTTGCGACGATCTTTGCCACGCTGACGTCTTCCTGAGTCTCGATGACGGACGCATCCAGCCAGCCGCTGATTTGAAACACCCACATCTTGCATGCACTTTTAGTCGCGTACGCCAGTGGGCATTCCCCGACATCGGTTTTGTCGGCCTTCTCACCGAGTGAGTTGGTCTGTAGTCAACACGGTGACGTGAGATGGGACAAAACAGTCTGCTCGTTACGTAACGAAAGATGCGTAATCAGGACCGCGGCGTAGCTAAAGGGCCGCCAGCTAACGGCTGAAGACGTGAAGGCAAATGTCAAAGCGATTTCGGACCAACAGTATCGAGGACCTGCATGCTGTCAGGCGAGCGAATGGGTGACGGTGTTTGTATCTTTTGTGACCTTCTTGACACCGTCGTCTGATCGATGTGACGTATGATGCGAAGCTGACTGTTGTACGTCCTCGCACTTGTACTATATAGCAAGCAACGAGAGTCGCTGAAGCCCTATCGAATGTGCTATGCAAAACATATCTGTACGGAGTCGACTACACTGTACGACGAGCGTGTGGTCGTGTTCGGTCAAAGTTGTGTCTAAGCAAGGGGTCTTGCATTCGAATGAGGCTGAGGCAGAAAACACGCAAGCCACGGATCCATACGTGGCATCCACTCAAATGAACTTAGTGAGTTTTGGCACTGGTGTCGTTGTCACATGTGCGCACGAGACTGTCGACTGCTGCGTCTCACATCATCTCCTTGGAACGTAAGAGCATGACTTGCGAATGCGTGATGATTCAGCAACGTTTCTTGGGAAGCATAGCGAGTGTATACGCCCGATGGACCAAAGGGTAAACAAATGCGAAAAAGTCGAGGTCTGCACAGAAAGTTACCAGCACGTTTAAGGAAAGAACTAGGGAGCCTTTTCTAACGCTTCCTCTTGGTTTGACATCAGAGCGAAACGTACGCAGCATGTCCGTGACTGCAGCGATGGAGAACGCGGTGAGTTCGACCTGAAGACGATTGGAAAGCGTCGATGTGGTATGTTTAACAGAGTTTGATAGTGCTGCTTCCTAAAGCATTGTAGAATACGATCGTCATTGCCTCGAAGCGCTCGAACAAAACAGGATCTGTGCAATGAAGTAGGTCTTGGTTGCTAGCACGAAGTGGACAATGAAACGTTCACGAAGCGATGCTACAGTCTGTGGAAGTGATGGATCACAGCAGAGTCCTGCGATATCGATGTTGCATGCAATGCGCTCAGTCCTCATCATAGTTGAGCATATCAGCAAATGATCATCAGCGACGAATTCGAATACAGCGCAAGCGAAAGTGCCAGTGGTAAAATCACTAGGGCGGCAATAGCAACGAGACGTCTGTGAGCAATCAGGATGGAGAATTCATCCTCGCACTGACTGCGCACTGCGATGATACACTAAGACCACGGTTCAACACGTGTAACAAGGTCATACGAATGAGAAGAAACAGGCAAGCCGTTCGAGAGATTCGAATGGCACTGCATCTCTCATCCGAAAACCTTTCTAGTGGGATGTCTGCAGACACCCGCGCTGAACAGCTATCACATCGCACCTCCTGCAACTGATTGCAGAATAGGTGCAGACGTAGGTGCTGGCGACGGCATCATGGACTTCATCGCAGCTTGACATGTCATTTGTAGACTCAGCGTAAACACTGTCGAGAAGAGTCTGATATTGGCGGAACGGCGCTTGCGGTACCTCTTTCACATAGACAAAGACTCAAAGCTCCGTCGGTTCGTCATCTTCCTGAGCTTGTCTACCACAAGCGATGCGTTGACAGCCGTCACACTATTCATGTCCGTCTGAGGTATACTCGGCCCTCATGAGCCTTACGAACACACGCACAACGAACAAGCTGCTATAGCTTCTCGCCTACAATTGATCATGTGCTTATCTTTTTGTGCTGCGAACACGAGATACATCTTGCAACGTTTTGCTCGGTAGTAGACAGCAAAAGTATCTTGGTCGGAAGCTATTGCTGCAACTAGACCATCAATCCTTGTTGTCCGAATAAATTCTCTCTGATTGTGAGCAGCGAAGCGAGGAGCAGTGTTATGCATGGGCTGCATCAGGTTAATCGCATCAATTCGTTCCAATAAAAAATTCGGAGATCAACGGGTAGGCTTTTGCATGATATCGAACGTTTGGAGACGCGGCATTCGAACATTTGCACATGCATCCCGCAGGATCCTGATACTTCTAGTCGGGCGTTGTAGTAGTACAACGAATGGCTGCGATGATCTTTTCGATCAGCGGTGAAACACACTGACGGTATGATCGACTGTGATAGTCAACTCGACGGGCCCATGACAGCATCTGCGCTTCGGCTGTCGAACACAAAGATACACTTTTGTGGTCAGTGGTAAGATCGAAGTGCAAGGGCGTTAGCAGATTTCGACAGTGACGGACGTTCCTCAGATTGCCTAAGTCTTAGACAGACGCTGCGCATGTCAGCATGCCTCAGTCTGAACTTTGCTGTAGCCATCGCCTCATTTATCATCTGCAGATAGCTAGCACACTTCGCTTAGTCGATAAAGCCATACTGACACGGCTGTCTTTCGGCATGATCCAAGGCAAAGAAATGCTCAGCACTTATCTTGCGACTTGGCAGACTCGACTAGTCACGACTGAACTTCTTTGGTGACGAAGCAACAATTGACTTAGACCTCCAGCTACGATCGACTTTTGGTCGCTGCAGTAGAGGAACGTCGTTTTACTTAGGCTCAAGCTGCTTCTGTTGTCCGCACCGATTGCAGCGCTAGTCAACACTTTTGCTCCTTTCGTGCAGTTGTTGTTGTTTCACGGATTGAGCGTATGGAAGTGCGTTCTTGCTACTCAACGACAGTGCACTAGCAGTTGCACGTGTACTTCCTCGACAAATACCTCTCTCTGTGTTGTTGCGTTGCTCGCAGACATTGATCTTCTTCAGTTTACATTTATTTTTACGGTCTTGGCACGGTCTCCGACCTAAAGTGACGATATGTTGCAGTTGTAGTCTGCAAGCACATGTTCAACTGCCGAGCTTGACAGTCTTTGTCTCCCCCAAGCGAAAAAGAACTGACAAAGTTCTCTTAGCTCGGAGACTTGACAATCGACTGGCTGCGGAAGTGTCGCGTGTCTGAGGTCCAAGCGACTCAGCTCTATAGCATCAGCTTCGCTCGATGCGATCATCAGTCGTGCTGGTCTTGGACCAACGTCCAATCTCCAACATCCGATGGGTCTTCGTAAGCACTGGCTACAGTCAGCGCATGCATTTGCTATCCGCTGCCGCTATTGACTACGATCCGATGGACATGTCGGACAGAAGGCGTGACCTCGAAGACGATGAAGGGGATCAAAGTGTAGCGCCGATGCGTTCAATCTTCCACCCAAGCTCCAGCATGCACATTTTCGTTCAGGCTGAGACTGTCGTTAATGCATTTGTTCCAAGCAGGTTACGGCCTCTTCTGTTGTAGCAACCAGTATCAGACGCATACACATCGACTACATCGTCTTCGACCATGGCGTCGTCGAAGTGCGCTCAAAGCAATCCAAAAGGACGTTCTTGACAATTGCCCATTGTGAGCAAGCAGCTCTCCATTGTTTCGCGCTGCATTTTACTGTCAGTCAATCCGCTCTGACTAGTACGCACGACTCGATCGTTGCTATCTCCGATGACCTCTTGTCGACTTGTGTATCACTTGCACAACCAATCGCAGTATCCTCGACCGAGTGTGCACATCAGGTGCCTTCATCAAACGTAATTTCGATTCCTGGGATCGTTAATCAGTAGCGCCACCGACGGCGTCGACAATGCCTGGCTCAATGCGCCAAAAGTTGACGTCGTTGAACGCCTCGTCCGCAAGACTTCGTGTTCGGACTAACGACGCCACTGCGTCGGACACGAAACGTTCTTTGTTCTTGATCAACGATGCACCTAGATGTGTACTCATCCTCTGAAGTGGTTCCATGGCTAACTCGGCACTTAGTTGGACAGAGTTGGAGATCTGTATCATCGGCGAGTAAACGGGTGGAAACATAGTGTCCATTCGATGCACGAGGCTTTCGTACGACTCCTGGAAGTCCATCAAATAATTATGTCGTAGCCTTCCGCTCGTAGCGTCGACAATAAACACCTTCCCTGCAAACACACCCAGTTGCGAAAACACACTGCTATCAGCCCGAGTTGTGCCAAATGCCGCGTAGAACGGGTTGACACAGCGAGGAAAGAGAGACCGCAAAGCATCGAGAGCATCCACTTGGAAAGCTGAAGTGTCCATAGTCTTCTTGGTCGACCTTGTTGTGAGAAAGCAGTCGGGTGCAAACAGAACAGGACCCATCGGTAGTGCCATTCTCTCTCCATCCTCTCCAATTTTCTTTCGACTCAGCAACGTGTCGATCAACTTGGTCTGCGAGAGACCGCGACACGTGACGTACACGACCTGATAGCCGCTTTGTACCAGGTTTGCGTAAAACTCGACTGCTCCGGGGTGCATGGCAGCTGGATCCCTGCGCTTAAACATGCTGCCAGTCGCAGCTCGACTCGAGATCGCTCCATCAATCTGAGCAATCACAATCTTTGCTGTCACGGGCCATAGGTACACATTCGCCGTGACGCGAGTCACTTCGTTTGCCGCGTGAAGAGATCGTAGCACAAACGCGATCTCGTTGGTACCGACGCGCAACCCCATTGCCAGCAGTTCTTCTTGAGTAGGTCTCAAGCTCTGTCGACAGTATGACTCGCTAGTAACGCTAGCAGTATCTTGAGTCGAAGCACCGTCATCGCTGCAAACTTTGTCGGACGAGGCCAATGCAACAGGTTCACGCACAAGTACAGCGCGAGCAGTAAATGCAGACTCGGTATGCTTATCGCCATCGTCATAAACCTCGACTTGACCTGCTGCAGTGGCTACCTGCAGATCTGTCAATGTGTCCAATACATTCGTGTCTTTGTTGACACCTCGTGGTGAAGCAGCTACTGGCAAATGGTGAGCATACGGGAACAACACGCGAGAAGTGAGGTACGCTTGCATGTCTGCATCATACAACGCCACTTTCCCATCCACGAAAAACCGCAACCTCGGGTCTGTCAGGATACATGCTGCGTTTGCTCGGAACACGTCAAACGTGACGAGATGCTCAGTGAAAACACGATGCACGTCTTCCTCTACTTTGACTTCATCCAGCAAATGACCACAGAGCGACATGGACGGATGATTGCAGAAGTTCTGGACATCGTCTCTGTCTGCAGCTTCAATGTCCACGGCATCAAAGTACATGGACGCGCTCTCTCCAAGCATCGGCCGCCATTTGTCCTCTCGTACTGCACCTTCTGTGTCAGATACTGCAACTGGCTGCATGCTCGATCCCCACGTCCATCGTCTCAGCCCCTGTTCAGCATCTTCCTCTTCGGGTTCAAAGCCATTGTCGTTTGCAACAAACGAGTCGCTCGCATCCACTTCACTCGTGTCCCCTACGCTACTACCGTCAGGACTTAGCAACGCGGATGAGGTCACGTAATCGTCTTCATCGACGCTGTCGTGCACTGGATGCACAAAATAGGCCTCTCCATCAACCCCCACCTACACAAGTTGGCATCAACAACGAGAGCGAGCGCAAAGCACAGCCACAAGCAAAGGTATCCGTTAACGATATCGTTCAAGACCGTCGTCACCACCAAATTTTGTTGCAAGCTCGTCACACACATCCCACGGTACCTTCAGCTGCACACTGTCTACAACTTGACCATTGACTTCAACCGCCACATGCCGTCTCTCGTCCTGCTTGACGTTATTGTGCAATGGGCCAAAGTGCACGCAAAACGGCGAGCAGAGCAGCGACCCATCCGGTTGTTGCACAGCCACGACGTCGATCGCTCCTGCGCGCGAGTCGTGTTCGTTGAACACGTTAGTCACGTAGTCCTTCACCGAGTGGAGCACGTTCATATCGTGCTGCTAACGTCGTCGAGAGAGACCCACAACGCTAAAAACAAAAAGTGATGCAGTCGATCCAGCAGTAACTCGGATGCAGAATGGCAAAGCGGACGACACGTTTGTGGGCAAGAGATCCTCGTCTTCTGTAGCTTTTTAGTGAATGATCTGCCAAAAGAGCTGCCCAAAGGGTGACTTGGGTAGATAGGTAGGCAGAAGTGTGTGTTTGTTTGTATGTCTATTTGTTCGTTTGTATGTCCGTTTGTTTGTTTGTTTGTATGGATGTGCGTTTATATGGATACAGGCGGTCGTGCTGTTGTCGTGCGTAGAAACGGCACCACGCGAGAGTCTGTTTGCACGGACTTGTCCGACTTGAAAGTTCTCGGACGGAACAGCAGAACGCGTGTAGACACAGCGACAACGACCAACTACAACAAGGAAAACAAACCTCTGTGCAACGTCTCTAGTCGGTCGTTGGTAGTAGTTGTAAACTGCAACAAGCGCCTGAACGCGAACGTTCGGCCTGGTCAGGAAGATTCGGTCTGGTCTCCCCGCGAATAAAACGCGCACCTCGTGACGCGTGCAGCCGCGTTCACGAGCACCAGGTGGTTGATGTTGAACGTCAAGCACCGAGACGCAACGGTCGACGTCATCACTCGTAGTTGACGCGAAAGAGCGCGTCCATGGGGTTGTTGCCTGCGTATACCACAGACACCAGCGACTTTGTCGCTTGTCACGCGTGAAATGGGGTCTCGAGGCCGAGATGACTGACTCCTGGCAATGGGCGCGTCAACAACAACAACAACAACAACAACAACAACAACAACAACAACAACGGACCACTACTAGAGCCATTAGGTGGCGACAGTGCAGTGTATTCAACTGTCGATTGCATCACGAGAGCAGAGCGGATGACGCGACATCGAGAGGGAAGAGAAGAAACGATGATGAAAGGACGAGACCGCTGGGCATTGGAAAACATGCGGCTCGACCTCGTCACGAAGGGATCGCACCCATCTGCTGCGTGAAAATTCCGCTCTCCGGGCAACGAATGGACGCTCGCTACGCGTCCGTCTATCGACTCGTCGGTCTCTTTCTCTATCGGATTGTCGACTTGTCGATCCGACTATCCCTCTGTCTGTGGTCTGACTGTCTTTCTGCAGGTCTGTCTGTATGACGTGCGGCACACTCGTTCCCGAGTCGACAAACACGTGCGCCGCTCGTTGTCGTGACGTAAGTAACTGCAATTTGAGGAAACAACAACGTCACGTTTCACGCGAAGCTGTCGATCAGATGGCGCTCGTCAATGAACAAATGAAGACGCGAAAGCTCTCTCTCTCTCTCTCTCTCTCTCTCTTCTTCATTGTTGTCTGCGGCCAGGAAGTGACCACGAGATTCAATAGACGTCGTAGGAAAAAAAGTGTCTGCTCAATGCGTCGTGAGAGTGACCTGCGGTTCTCCCTCCACCTTTGCCAACGCAAAAAAGACACTCACAACAACGAATTGACCGCAATAAGGCCACGTCGCTCGTCTTCCAGCTCGAGTCGGCTCTGCGACCGCATCTCCTCAACGTTCTTCTTGTGGTCGCAACACCGTTCGACGAGCGTCGGGTCCGGCAATGGCAGTTTGTTTGACTCGTTGCGGGTCGCTATCGCATCGCTTACGGCACGGCACGGCACAAACTCAAAGCTCAGTGCGTTTTCGCGGCAGCCCACGTCAACGAGTACCCCATCCGCGCGCACGCCAATGTACCGCCGGTGCTGGTTCATGCTCGTGAGGTACCCGCCACTGCTGACGGCGTACTCCCACCGCATACCCGACGTGCCCCGAAGACAGTGGGCGCGTTTCATGCGCACGTCCCGCACACACGAGAACGTCGAGCGGCTAAAGAGGTACCGATTCGACGCGTCGTGGCGAAGCGATACTTTGACGCAGTTGTACGCTTTCGCATCGCACTCGAGTCGAAATGCAGTGCGTTCGACGTCCTTTGACGCCACTGCAAGTGCAACGTGGCCCCCGTCGTCCGAAATTCGGGCGTACCGGTGGAATTCGGGATGACCATTTCCACTTCGGAGATAGACTTGGGAACCCGAGAGCTGCAGGACTGTGGCAACCACTGTGCGTGCAACGGCTTTGATCGCTGCGATTTCGTGCTCGAGCGCCTCAACGGCTTCGGCCGTCAGGTGCTTTTCAAACGGCACGCGACCGCCTGCGCGGGTCAAAAGCTGTTTGGACCACTGGTGCCCCGTCTTGCACCAGTGGGCTGCGTGCTCGCAGTTCTGCGTCCAGAGGTTAAAGTCGCCTTTGCCGAGTCCGAGGAGGAACGTGCACCGGGCGAGTACGACTTGCGGCAGGTCCGACTTTGCGCGGTGGACTTCGCCCCACTTGGCGCAAAAGTTGCGGACTGCCGACGTGTGGTACTCGACGCGTCGGAGATCCTGAAGACTGCGGTGGTGAAGGAACTCTTCGAGTGTCGAGAGGCAGAAACACGAGTCGGCCTGAGCTTCGCGGAAGCTCTGCAGAGGGCTCCAGACGTGGCACACGCGGAGAGTGGCGAGCGCAGGGCCTGCGGCGTAAATGATCCCGTGGTGCTGGTACGAGAAGGGCCAGTGGCTGTAGTCCCAGATGCAAATGTGGTCCCCGGGGCGCAGCGACGACAGGTTTTGCACGCGCGTGTACACACTGCCCATGTGGTAAACAACGAGTTGAAGTGGGCTGAAGGACGTTGTGGAAGTTGGGTCGCGCGTTGTGTTGCGGGAGGGAGAGAGAGAGAGAGAGAGAGAGAGAGAGAGAGAGAGAGAGGAGAGAGAGAGAGAGAGAGAGAAAGGAGACGGGAATACCTGTCGCAAGTTTGAGGACCAGAGGTCGGAGGATAAGTGGCGAGGGAGATTGAGGATACAAGTGTCAGTTTGGGAAGGCAGGAGGTGGCTGGATCGGACGACTGACTGACTGACTGACTGACTGACTGACTGACTGACTGACTGACTGACTGGACAGCGCATTGGGTCGAGGGGACTGCAAAGAAGGAACGAATGAGCGATGCGAGGAAGAGGTATGCGAGGTGCATGTGGACGTAGGTATGTAGGTCTGTAGATATCTGGTTACAGTGGGGACATTTATTGACAGGGGATGGACAACGGTTTGGATACAAGATAGACGCGATGGGTAGTGGAGAGTGTGCTGCTACTACTGGTACACTGATCGAGTGGTAGGAGAGAGATGAGGCCATGTGGCTGATACGTTGACGATTTACAGATAAGTTAGTGCGGAAAGCGACCGACGCGATGTTCGACGAAGCGCTTGGTATGGTGGTGACTGAGTCTACGCTCGTCCATTCTCGTACGTGAACTGTGTCGATAGGATCTCACGGTTGACAGAGACGTGGAACGTCAAACTGCCGTTGTCGGCCTCATTGGAACCATTTGACGACAACATTCGCCGTCACACTCACTTGGACATTGCTGACCTGGCTTTTGATGTATCGCTCAGCTGGCTCGGTGTCCGAGTCTTCTTTTGTGAGGCATCAGCTTACTCGATGCGGCATCGGCTGTGTCGAGACGCGAATCGAGATATATAAATTAATGATCAATACAAAGTCACACTCCACTGGTTGTCGTCGCCGTCGTCTCAATCATTTTCGTGGTGCAAATTGCCACACCACGATGAAGCGTGGCAACTAGACTGCTGCAGCCAAGGAGCCAAACGTTATTAATGAAGTGTCAGCCTTATACGCGAGCTCACGTCAAGAAGTTATCGAAAGTTGTCACAAGATGCTGCGCAACGAGCAATTGTATCTTCAGCACTTCATGGTCGTGATAACGTTTACATAGCGAGTGGACTTGCGAGCGTCAACAAACTTGCCCAAAAGGCTATGCAGCCGGAACAGCGTGCAAACCATGACTCGCACCAAGGTACTAGCTTCGTACAGCAATGGTACTGTCGCGCTGCTTTGATCTTTCTCCAGCATGTTTGTTTAGCGGTCACATTGACGTGTTGTGTCAATACCAATAGCGTAATCTTTACAGAGCGTGCTTTACGCTGCACACTTTCGTCCTTGTATCTTCTTGATGTGTGCTTGTCACATCAAGTTGCAGCTTTTCCAATTTGTAGCCCATCAACTATCGGCAAAGCTCTATCGAGGGTCAGCAAAAATCACTGCACACGAACAACTGAGTACCCCATTCTCCACTGACTGATAGGTATCGCAAAACGATCCTGTCTCTGGCCTTCTACGCCAGAGCTCCTCGTTTGATCCTATCGCAGGATAATTAAATAATGACGTCACGTGAACTCGACACACAGGGGTAAAAGTAACATGTCTACGACCTCCAACGCAGCTTTCAATCACAGCGAGGTACGTTGCACAGCATATCGTGCCACCTGGATCAATTGATCACAATCGAATCTTCCAGCATCGATCGTGACACAATCGAGCACGCGCTACACTTCCGAGCAATAATTCCAACCAGCGCCTCGGTGATGCTAAACGATCATGATGAGTGCAGATATCAAACGAGTCTCATCGTCATCAGCTTCGAAGCAATGAGAGCAGCCCAGTCTGATACGAAACGCGTCACGGCTGCTTGGCTGCAGACTGATGTCTGTTGCTTTCGCTGGTGATGAACATACAGGCTGCAAGTCATGCTGCATTTGCCAGACCGTGCTGGCTTGTGCTCCTCAGCATACAAACATACGGAAGTATATCGCAATACTTCTCTCCACATACACAGCCGAATCTCAAGTCGTGGTGGTGCGTCAACTGATATAGCAGCAATTCAGCAATGCGAATGAGATGCGATCTCACCCTCATGTACCTACCTCACCGTGCCATTGACGAGCTCAATAATCAGTACACGTCACGTTCAATCAGGCTGTCAATCATGCTGAACCAAACAGGGGCATAGCTGTCACTGCTGTTGCCCGTGCTGTCGTCAGCGTCGTCAGAGACCACGTGGGCGACAACTTGTCGTGCTCGGCCGCGTTGTAGTCTCGCATACTCTGCGACTCGGTATACTGCACAGACTTTTCGTGATTGTACGTGCGCGTGACTTGGTGAATGTCCGGTGGAGTGTATGCTTCAGCTGGTCCTTCACAAGCCACAAATTCCACGCGTGCAGCATCTCCACGCATGCTCACATCAAGCAGCAAGCCATCTTTCCGTGCACCCACGTATCGTCGATGCTGACTCATACTCCTCAGATATCCGAGCGTCGAGTACTCCCACGTGAGTCCAGACTTGCCACGCACGGCCACCGGCTTTTTCATTCGCAAGTCACGAAAACAACTGAACGTCGATCGACTGAACATGTAGCAGCCTGATTCTTGGTGGAAAAAGCGCACCCGGATACTATTGTAGCCTCTCGCATAGCACTCGAGGCGAAACGCTGTTCGTCCGCACGTTGTCGGGTCCTGTCCTTGCGGCACAATGCCCACCCTGCCATCCTGCTGGACCTGCACGTAATACCGGCCTTTGACTCGTAGAAACACCTCGGACCCTGACAGCTTGAGCACGTTGCTCACCACCGAGCGGGAGCTGGCTTTGATCTCCTCCACTTCCTTCACGAGCGCGTCCACGTCTTCTTTCGCCAGCCGCTTTTCAAACGGCACGCGTCCTCGAACCTTTGTCAGCGTCTGTTTGCACCACTGCTCGCCCGTCATGCACCAATGGGCTGCATGTTCACAGTTTTGCGTAAACAGATTAAAGTCGCCTCGGCCCAGGCCCAGCAAGAACTTGCACCGCGCGAGCACTACTTCTGGCAAATCTGCTTTCCGCAGGTGCACTTCCCCTCGTCGCGACAGCACCTCCCGAAAGCCCGACGTGTGGTACTCGACCAGCCGCAAATGGCGCTGCTTGCGCCCGTCGAGGAACTCGTCGAGCGTCGAGATGCGGAAACACGAATCGGCCTGCGCGGCTTGGAACCCCTCGAGCGGACTCCAGACGTGGCACACGCGAATGTCACTGCTGGTCGAGCCCGAGGCCCAGAGGATGCCGTGGTGCTGGTACGACAGCGGCCAGCGACTGTAGTCCCAGATGCACACGTGGTCGCCTGGTCGCAGCGACGCCACGTTCAGGACCCGCGTGTACTCGCCGCCCATACCCGTGAAGAGGCCGTGCGACGTGTCTGTCGGTGTTGTCGTACTGTTACTTCACTGTTTGTGGCTGTAACTGTTGTGGCTGTTGTGGCTGTGGCTGTGGCCTTTGCAAGTGGTCTATTCGCTCTTTCGAAGGCGTCGACGATCGTGGCCGGAAAACGTCTGTGGGTATAGTTCCAGCGACAGTGGTCAATGGTACCGACGCGAACAAGTTACAGTGTGACGAGTGGTCCGTCGACGACGTCCGCTGGTCGACGAGAGCGCGTGAAACGGCGGCGAGCGGCTGCGGCCTCACGTGGGGCGGCGGAAGCAAAAGTGGCGACGGGCGAAGGCCGTGTCGAACTTTGGGCGCAGAGACCGGTCGGGTCGCGGGACGAATGGAGTGCGCCGAACTTAACGAAACAGTTGTGTGTGGGCGGCTGACACGAGTGGCGGATCGAGTCGTCTTTTGACACAAATTGACTGGAGACCACGTGGTTTGCTGCACGGAGAAGGAACGTTCGATCTCCTTCTTTTGGCACAAAGAGAAGAAGGAGAAGAAGAAGAAGAAGACAAAGGAGGAGGAGACACGAGAGCTGTGCAAAGTGTTCTTTTCTTGTGCTTGTGTTGTCCGCGCGTACTTGGGACTGTCTGCTATCGCGACTTGTGGAAACGCGCGAGTTCGGCTGACTGGCAGACACTCGCGTGGATTCTCGTGGACTTACTTGAACGAACAATCAGAAAGGAACCGCGCGAGTGAGCAGAGAAGAGATTTGACCACGTCAAGTGATGTCTGAGTGTGGAGGTATACTGCCAACTTGCCGTTTGTTTACACACGACACGAGGAGAGAGAGAGAGGCACTACTATTACTACTACTACTACTACTACTACTACTACTACTACTACTACTACTACTACTACTACTACTACTACTACTACTACTACAATTACCAGCTGAGACGATTCGACAGACGCTTTTCGTCGACCAGATGATGGACCCACGTGACGACGACGATGCACGAATGCTCTATCGCTGCCATCGCGAGCTCGTGGCACCGCGTCAGCATGTGGGCGCGGGATGGAGTCAAAGATACTCACTCGTTCGGACAACAGGAGCTCACTCACGAGCAGACTGTAACGTGGTATTGTACTACTGCTACGCCAATTGTCCAGCAAAAGCCACAGCTCGAGCTCTTCTATACCTCACATTGCTACGACGTTATCGTCTTCACTCGTTATCTGTAGTCGCGTGTCAACAAGAGCCACGTGCGACTTGGAACCGACAGACAAACGCACACTCGCGAGACATGTCGGCCTCTCTTGCTGAACTGACTCGTTAACTGAATGCCCCAACCGTCGGCGTCGACTGAACGGAGAACGGGATCAATAGCCGCCCTCTCTCGTTTGTTCGTGTGGTTGCCATCGATTGACGTGCACCACACCACTCCGTCGATACCGATACGGACGTCGACCATTTAGCACTATGCCGGCGTACCACTCGACGCTAAACGAGCTCCAGACGCAGGAAGCGTGCGGCTGTGCCATTCTGCCCATCAAGACGCGCGCACGTGGCCCTGCGCCGCCTGCGCCCGAGGACCAGGACGATATCGTGGACGAAGTGATCACGCTCTTCCGCGCGAACGTGCTGTTTACGAACTTTGAGATTAAGGGCAACGCCGACCGCGTGCTCATTTACGGCACGTTATTTGTGCACTTGTGCCTCAAGAAACTCGACCGCTGCAGTAAAAAGACCGACGGTGCGTACCTATCTATATGTGTGGCTCTTTTTTGTTGCTTAAGACGAGCTGAAAACAGCAACACCGACTGACTTGAAAAAAACATTAGATAGAATATCGCTAAAGGAAGGAAAGATATAGATAGACAGATAGATCGAAGATAGATAGATAGATAGAGGGAGAGAATACTAACGCTAGGCAAACTGACTGACTGCGTGCGTTGTGACGTGTCTAGCGGCGCGGATCTTGCAGCAGACGGCTGTTGACGCGTTCGCGATACCTGGCGACTCGAGTTTTCCACTTGGTGGCCTCGTGCGTGCGCCGTCAAGTGCGAGTGAAGCAGGTATAGAATGTTGGGATATTCCGAGTCGGAGGGTGGGGAATGAACTCGGCCGGTGGTTAGTCTCTATGGGATGTTATTGCTAATGAGGGTGATGGTGTGCTAGAAACGATCCGTGGCTTTCTGAAGCAGTTCCGCGAAGCAATTGCCGCTCGTCTGGTCGATGAGGTGTTCCCGAACGGCGAGAAGAGCAAGTGGTGGATGCTGTTTGCCAAGCGGAAGTTCATGAACAAGGAGCTGTCGCGCTAACTGCGTGTGGTTGACGGACGCGGCGCTGTGCAGTTGCACAGTATGCACACAACAAGTCTCGCAACAAGAGAGTGGACCAAACATGTCGTGTTCATCGTACGATACCTCACCACAGCAGCACTGAGCCAGCGACTCTTCACTTGCCACGTGCAAGACAGCAAATTGTCCGAAGAAATCGATGCAGCCTCATCAGCTGCGTTTGTCACTCGTGTCATTGTGCCACGTCCGTCCGTCCGTCCGTCCTCCGTTTGCACTCACCCGTCAATGTCGTCTGCTCGCTCTCGCTCTCATTCTCTCTATCTCCCTCGGTGCGGTGCGGTGCCTCCACTGCTCAAGCAAACCCCGCCGCCATCTCGAGAAAGCTCTGGTCCAGCAGCACGTAGTTCTTGAGCCACGCACTGGACGGTGCGACCTGCTGCAGCTGTCCAATGTACTGCTGCGTGGGCTTGTTCAAGTGGGCACTGACAGCAATCAAGTTGACCAGCGTGTCCTCGTTGCCCGAATCTTTCTGCACGGCGTCCAGCAGCAGCCGCTCGGCTTCGTCGTAGTTCGCCAGCGCCATGAACGCAGCGGCCGCGCCGTTCAGCAGCAACGGCGTCGCGCCAAAGCGGTCGGCGAGCTCCTGGAAATGCAGCGTGGCTTCGTCGGCCTTGTCGCCGCCCTGCACCGTGAGGCACCAGGCGTGCGCGAGCTGCGTCAGCGTCGAGTCTTCTTCAATGCGCTGCATGTCTTCCACTGTCTTCGTCGCGAGGTCCAGTCGGTGCATCTGCAGGTACAGGTGCACGACGTACAGCAGATGCTCGAGCGATCCCCCGCGCAAGAGCGTCGACAGCGCGTCCGACAGTTTGTTCTCGAGCGCGTACATCTGTCCCGCAAGCAGCAACAGGTGCGGGTTCTCGCCGCTGAGGGGGTCCTGGAGCCACTCGCTGAGCGTCAAGTCCAGCAGCTCCTTGTCGTCGTGGTGGCCGCTTAAGTACGTGGCCCAGAGCCGGACCGCACTTAGCGCAATCGGCGTCTGTGCCCCGGCGTCGGGAATGCTCTGCAACACGAGCGACACGTTGCCGAGCGCCAAGTGCGCGCGGTACACGTACACGTCGCGCTCGTTGCGGAGCGACTCGCTCAGGTGATTGAGGAGTGCGCTCTCGCTCAGGACGTTCGCGTAGTTGCCGACCCAGAGCTGGTTCTTGAGCGTAAAGAGCTCGTCGGGCTCGGCCATGACGGGAAGTTGGGATTGGATGAGGGACGTGGGGCGATCGGGAAGGAGGGCGAAGCGTTGTGTCGCGAGCGGGCGTAGTGGTCTGTCGCGAGAGAAGAGAGCGTCGTGGGGGTGGAAAGTATGGTGTGGACGAATAGAAACGTGTGGGCTGGCGGATGCGGCGGCAGGGCGTTTCTATTGTGAGGTTTTTTGGAGGGCTTCACAGAGGCGGTGATGACTCAGATGGATTGATATTCTTGATAGTTTTAAAATGAGACAAAGCTGTTTGCTGTTGTCAGCGAGAAAATGTCGTTTTGGCTTACGAGTGATGCGAATGTTTGGCGAAAGACATGGAAAAGGGGCTCACAATAACGAGGACCGATGCAACGTCGTGCTACAATCTTTGCTCTCATTATGTCGAGAGCATCCGTTGTTAGCACGATCGAACAGCTTGACGATAAGATGCTTTACGATCTAGATGTTAGCTACGAAAAGATGTCACAATGGGGCTCGCGATACCGATACTGATATAGTCGTCTTGGTCAGTACATAATCATGGGGATAGCGTTTGGCTACCAGTGCTTGCATCTCGCTCTGTTGTCTTGACTCACATGCGAGATCTTCTCGAGCACATGTGCGGGCAACATCAGGAATCGATCAAACGATGGATGTTGAGCAGCTACTTGTTTGCGTTTAACCAGTTCTGCTGACATCGCGTTGAGAGACGCCGAGCTGAAGCGCTGTGGGCTTTGTATGAGGGGCAATAGAAGACCAGCTTCGATCAATCCATTCGCTACCAAGTCTTATTGCATAAATTCCACTTGTTATCGGCACCAGAAGTCATCGTGTCAGGAGCAACGAAGCGATCGATAGCTTCGACTGGACACACACGTTTCGCCATGCAATGACGACGATCTCGCACATCATCAAAGACTCCATTATCACACGCTTGACTACGGTGTGCCTTTTGTGGCAAACGAAGTACATTCTTTGGCCATGCTTGTCGTCAGTACTCATCGAGCAGGCATTGATGCTCGACAAGCAAGCGGCCGGTCTAGATACGATAAGTGTGAAGCGGTCGTTGCCCTGCTACCTACCACCCTCATTTCTTTGCCTCTTACTATGCCAGGCCACTGCAAGAGTAGCTTGCTGTCGTCTCATAGAGCATTCTAGAGATCGGCAGTCCTGCACATTACCACGGTGCCTCTTTCTGGAATTTGCGGGGCGTAGTTGCTTAATCATTGCGCTTCGACCGATAGTTTCGCATGCACGATACTAACAAGTTGCTGGCAATCAAAGACCGTTAGCTGGAATATGCCCTTCGAGCGTTGTTATTCTGTTTGAGGCCAAAACATGCCGCGACGCTTGCGCCGTTGAGGGAGCTGGAGTGAAAGTCCTGTAGAAGATATACCCCGAGCATTGTAGACTCGTTGAATTGTCAGATCGACGTACGAGAAGGCGAGCAATACCCACTTTTTCGATACTGTTCGTCTAAAGGCTGCTGATAAAACCAGGTAGACCGCTCGCCAACCCAGTGATTCTCGCTCGACCCGTAGACGCAAAATGGTAGTCCATCCTATCAGCTTACGTCGTAGTCTAACCAACATACTATCCGCGTCGACACACACAAGATGTGCCACATTCCCTCTGTCTGCTTCATGAGGCTTCACTCAGCGAGGACAACGACTCGCAAGATCACACACACAGTTCCTTTAACAGACCAAAATGCATGAGCAAAAAGGGCTTGGAGACCATGTTGAGCGTTAGCTGGATACCAAGTTGGCTAGAAGTAAATACCTACAGGAAGTCTACATCCTGTGCACAAGAGGCCATTATTCGGAACAGCGTATGTAAAGATTGCTTGCACGAGTCGTTTACGATAAACACAACTCATTTGGCAGTCGAATCGGAGAACACCATACAGCTTTGCAGCAGCATAAGGTCTAAGCTGTATATCCCACATGAATCGCCATGACTCTCAGCAGCGCTCTATCATAAATATCAACTTGTCGTTCTTGTAACTATTGCACTAGAGCACGTAAGTTATCCGACGCTACTTTTTCATCCAATCACACGATCGCGCCACACAACATCGACCAGAAAACGTCAGCTGTCAACATAAATTACCATGGAACGCTTCGGTGACGCGCGGCTAGTTCAACTGGGCGAGGTCGTGACCGGTCGTCGCTATGTGCTGCTCACAGCAGCAGCTACGGGCATCGCTATGGCCAGTGCAGTGCAGCGTCTACGCCCCTTGTCGTCCATCGATTCCCCACTGTCACTGTCCACGCGGTTTGCCGAGGAGCTCATGAACTCGCGCGTGGGCGCTGTGGTACGTTGTAGCATGACCATCATTCTGAGCCGTATTTTATTGTATATTTCCCCTACCCGCTGCCGACACGTGTTGTCGAAGCAGTTGTTCTATTTTTGATAAATTACTTACGCATTGACTCCCTCACTGACGACGCCCTCTATGTGTAGATTATGCTGCATTTTATTCTCGTTATCCTGTATTATGCTTTTCTCCTCCTGGCACGCGCAGCACTAGGGACGCTGCAGCCAATGGAGTTGCAGCAGACGAAAGAAACGCTCGTTCCGTTTGTTTTGCTGCGCTGTCAGCTGCTCTTGAGTACGATGGAGTTTACCGCTCCAGGACAAGGCATTGAGATCGCACGGCTTGTGTCGTGGCTTGCCGTGCTGGTAGTGCTGCGAGCGCTGCTGGCGCTGACTCAAATCCGGTTTCAGCACTTGCTGACGAGACCCATGACCCGAGTGCGGGACTTGCAACGTCTAGGAGCAGTGCTGGGCCTTGTGATCGTGCTGAATCTAGGACTGCTTGCTGCGTGCACGCGGTTTGGTCTCTTCTGGGAGAAGATCGTGTACGTGCCGTGGTTTGAGGCGTCGCTGATGCTGCTGCGGACGCTGGAGCTTGGCCTACAGGTCGGTTTTCATAGTCTGGACGTCAGTGGAGCTGCCGTGGCGGACGACGGGGTATCAGCTCTGGGATGGTGGGAGAATCGGGAGTTTTACCTCTTGCTACTGCAGACGGTGTTGTGTGGATGCTACTTGGTGCAGCTGGTGGCGTACTATTTGTACGTTGTTAGTGTGGACCAGTTCCGCGTGAGTCTCTTCGATCTTGTCTTGGTTCTGAACGTCAAGAACGCTACAGTGCGCCTGCTAGAAAAGGTGAAGCATGTGAAGCTGTACCACCGAGTGGTACTGGACCTCGATCATCTTTTCCCGGATGCTACATCGGAGGAGCTCAAGAGCGTTGCCGACGACGTGTGTGCTATTTGTTTGAAATCGATGTCTTCGCATGCAAAGAAGCTGGACTGTGGCCATCTTTTCCACAGACTGTGTCTGCGCCAGTGTCTCCAAAAAGCATCCGAGAGCGACGCTCTGGTCGGTCTGAACCCGTTGACGCGTATGTTGAACGGCCTGGGGATGGAGAGTCCGTTTCCGCAAGTTGCCGGAACGAGGTCGTCGGGCTCTCCTTTGATGCGCTGTCCCATTTGTCGGAAACAAGTATGTGGCGGACAGTGCGACAAGATGACCTGCAGCCCGCCGGGCGAATCGTCCCGCCAGCTCGAAGGCGAGACCGAGGAGCTGCGAGAAGCTGGACAGCCACAGCATGAGCTTGCCACTACGGATACCGCACAAGATGACGTGCATGATCATGTCGTTGCAGGTGATGATGGAGGCGCCTCAGAAGAAGTGATCCGCTTCAGCAGTACGTTGCACGATTCCCTTATTGTACGCGTTTGCTATGGCTGATCTTGCTCTGTTCGGTGATGTAGCGGCGTTTCTGTCTCGATGGGTGCCATTTCCGAATTTCTCGTTCGAGATTGTCCGCCATCGCAACGTTGAGCTGACAGAGGAAATGCTGCAGCAAATCTGGGAGGTGTTTCCGCAGTATACTCTGGAAGAGATTCGTGCCGATGTTGCTCAAACGCGGTCAGTGGAACGCACAATGGAACGCATTCTCCATGGACATTTGGATGAACAGCGGATTGCGATGGAGCAGCAAAACTTTGATCGCGCTGACATGGACGCAAACGAGTTGTTCGGTGGCGCCCTTGTCGATTAGATGGCGCGCAATTCCGGCGTGCTCTGACTGTACTGGTGTCAGCGTCAAGAACACCGTTCTGACGGCAGCAGCCATACCGGCCTGTTGGCTTCAGTGGAAGTAGATGCAGCGGCCGCTCGCGAAGATAAGCGCATGTGTACGCTTGCCGCTGATGTGTGCTTTATGTGGAGGTGATGGTGCAAATCGGCTGCAGCCACGTCATGTCCGGATCGGTTCCCTTGTCTCGAGATCTCTCGGTCCACACTCGCGTCACCAAGCGAGCGACGTTCGTCGTCCTGATCTACTACGGGTCGTTCCGTATGTCTATATCGGGTCCACAAGTCACCCCTGCATGGCATGAGGAAGTAAGCGCGGTGCAGTTGACTGAAGTTTACGTCTGAGACCTACGGCAAGTGGAGAGAGTGAACCTGAGAAGGCGAAACAGTCGTTCGCGTAACGGGGTCGAAGACGTCACGAGGGTATTTGTAACCGGCACTCGAGCACCAATGATCGGTACATGTACACTGTGGTCTTTGCGTCATGTCAGGTGCTAGGAGGCGATTGGAAATGGCAGAAGTATTGATATGGCAAGGAGCTCAAGCCACGCCACTTGACGGTGTGCTATGCATACTCGAAGCGGACAGGGCAGATGTGAGCTACAAGTCGCGGATTGATGGAGGAGACGGCGCGCCGTAGACAAGCGCGCGGTGCTTCTACCGGCATTGTGGAAGATCATGATGCACAGTCAGAGCAAAGTCGGGCGGTTTGTCAAGTGGGTAAGCAGACTTTAGCAGCTCAGGTCCATACGCTGCATCGCCTGCACGTTATTAGCGTTACGTCTACCCGAATAGACTCCTCCTGGACACAAAGACGTGCAGATTACATGCATGTGGCGGCAAAACGATCAGTGAGCGCTTTGGTTCGCCGTTGCTCCTTCATCGTCGCTTACCGCTCAACTACTGGAAAGCTCGATCTTCACTTGATCTGCCCCAACACTTTCTGCTAGTACTCATGACCAGTCCTTCCTCAATGGCCTGACAAAGTGTACTGTTTGCTCGTACATTCTACCTGCTTGTTGCGTGTGCGATTGCAAAGACTGTAAGTGAGGCCGTGTCGTAACTCCGTAATGTAAGGACCAGAGAGCGCTTCGTGTCGTGCCACACGGCGCATAGAGTACGTACGATCTCCGGCAAAGAAAGCACATAGCACAAAGGATACGAGTATCGCGCACTCTAAAGACCGATCGTCAAGTGATGTCGTTGCTCGATGCACCTTTACGTTTACCCTTACGATCTTAATAGAACGAAAGCAGGTGTTGATCTGACTGCAAACAGGTTGTGCGTGGCTGCGTACTCAAGACTGACGTTCCATGCGGGTGGCCTTCCACACATTCGATTGACGGACAGCGTAACGTCACATGTATAAGGTCCACATCATCCTATGCATGTCTGCGACTTCCAGGTATGAGGACAGAAGGCTGCATCGAAGAGCGGTCGAAGTTGTTGAGACAACGAAAGTTGAAACATTGACCGCCAGTGTCCACTGGGACACCCGCAGTGTCTGTTTGCAATCGGCAAAGCCCATGTGAAAGATCCCGTGCGCTTGTCCATGCAGTGGTTGCGCACGCAGTTGATGCCGACTGTACAACGACGACGACGACGACTGCTGGCAGTAGGCGACTGCCTGCGTGTCATATTACATACATTTCGATGAAATTTTCAGTCCTCTCCGCGCCTTTAGGAGCAAATCGACAGCACACGCTGCAACGAAGCGTCACATCATTCACCTGCCTCTTCATGGGCTCTTGCGCGAGCGGGCAGCTTTCTGCTGATGGCGCTCATATTTTGTAGCGCCTAACGGCTGCGCTCGGTCGTTACTTACTTACGAAGTCACTACAGTTTCCGGATATCGAAACGACACCAGCACAGGACGCGAGACGAGACGAGCTGGAAAGAGTGGCATGGACTGACAAGTTCGCTTCTGAATAGTCAGGAAACGATAGGCAGCTGTCAATGGTCTCATGACGGCAAGTTTACTTCCGGTACATGTTTGTTGCAAGTCAGTGAATGTGGCGTCAAGTGTCTGGTTTGCGCCGACGATAATGCCGACGTCTTGGCAATATGAGAACTGCCGTGCGTTTAAATGTGTGAGTGTGAGGCTCGTATGTACAAGTTTCCATGTTTACCGGTGTAATGCTAGTTGTCTGTGTGGTAACTGCGACCGGAATCATGCATGTCCAGTATCAATAGGGTCATTGCAGAAGTTGGCCTCATCAACATTGACATTGATTTTTCCCACGAAGACTTACTTCTTACTGCTTCAACTTCTCTACTGGTGCAGTAGTGATCGATTGCGTGGACCGTGCTACTTGATGGGCTCATACAGGTGAAGCAAGAAATCCTATACAGCTGAATTGTCGGCAGAGGAGCTTATACCGCTAATTTTAACGTATTGCACTTTGTGGTACCGCTGGAATGCGATCGATAGCTGTTTGCATCAACGATCGAGTCCTCTGGTATGTTCATGTCTGTCAATAAATCTGCCGCTTTATCCCGGCTAGGCTGTCGTTCATCGCCACTTGCACTGCTGCTTCTGGAAGGCTGATGTAGATCGCGCTTCCTCCTGTGCAAGGTTCAGGGAAGACGTGCGCGTTTCGCGTCCAGCCCGACTGCTTTCATCGATTCTCGATCAGTACTGTTCACCAGGATATTCATGATCGTGCCTTGTCACGGCGTCATCGCTAAGTCGGGCTTATTCTGTTCTCACGCGGCAAGTGTACCTTGGCCTTGTTCTGCCGTTGGCGTAGTGCTGGCAGATCGCAAGCTGCTGCGCACGTGTCAGACTTGACTGCTCGTCTGACCTGTCATGAGAACGAGCGTAGCATGTGATGAGTTCAGTGTGACACGCTTGTACGCGCGGAGTCTGCCGCTTACAATCTGTGAAGCTCTTGTGAAACATTAAGCGTCGATCTGTACGTCCAAGTGAGGGAAACACGCTTGTAACGTGAAGCGAAGTAACAGTCCTAGCGGCGACCGGTAGTATGTAGATGTTACCTTTTGTGAGCCTTTCGAAGAAGGCACACGAGCGAGTCTCAGCACGTATGGTCCACCCTTCGCATCAACAACGCCCACACATAAACACACAAACAAACTCGCGTAAGTTTTATTTTCGCTTTTACTGAGCGAATTCGGCACCACGTCGAGGACTTATCCCAGATTTACCTGTACATCAAAAATGACGCTACAGCTTGAATCCACGAAAATCCACAAAGAAGAACAACTCATACCAGTTGATCTGAGTGCTGCCAGCTTGATGCGCAGTTGCAGAGTGAGTGGCTATAGATTGATGGGTGTACTACACTATCCAAAATCCAGCTCACGATCTTTTGCGACTTGAGCCGTACGCGCGATTCGATGCAACACGTTGGGACATTGCACGAGAAAATGAAGTAGAATGAACCCAAGATCGCGGCAACGACAGCAGCATTGTCGCACTGTCGTGGGAAGGAAAACACGGCTGTCGTGATTGCTGAACCTCAGCGTCTCGATCACTTCTTGCTTGATCTAAGTGAGTGAAGGCTGAGTTGTGGCAGACCTGCTGCTTGCGATACAAAAGTCGTAGCAGAAGAATGCCCGGATCTAGCACGCGCGTCGGTAGGAGGCCTCATACTGTAACGGATAGTTAGCTCTTAGGCTTGACAGACGATACAGGATCAAGGGACCAGGCTGTCCTATCTCGTGCTGTGTGAAGAAGACTGTGGAAAAACGGAGTGGCGTACATTCGAGTAGATGGTCAAAGAAGGCGCCACGATGGCCGAGCAGATTGTGACATTTCGTCCGCCTGCTGTCAAACTGGTCCCTAAAAGACTGACATTGAACCACCTCACAGATTTTTTCTGCTCAGTGCCGATCAGATAACAAGAGCAGTTTCACGCGTGGACCTACGCGCAGCTTTGACTTTTACCTGCTTACGTATAACGCAGAGAGAGAGAGAGCAAGGAAGCAAGAGCAGGCCACAGTCTACTGTCGTGTTGTCTTGTGCGAGCTCGCGCAACGCCAAACATAGAGCATCCTATGATACCACTCGATCGACGCTGTCAATGAGCCCAAATCTTACCAGTTGATGTTCATTCAACTCCAACACAGCTGCTCGTTTGTGCCCAAGTACTCCTCGTGCGGGAAGACCATACATGCGATCGTACTGACAAACGACCTGCTGAGGTTACAGCTTCACTCCGTCACGCAGTTGAGTCGATCAACAATCGCGAAACGCAACGTCTTCTACGACTGTGTATGGGCTGTCAGCAGTATGCTGCCTGCAGTTTGCACGTTGAAAAGCGCGTGCGGCGTTCAAATTTTTCCACAGACGGCGTCGCTTCCGCGATCGCTGAACCCGTTTGCTGATGGTCAGCAGCTCCCTCCCGGGGGAACATCCGATGCGGGATATTGGTGCCAGTTGCTTGCCCGGTCATGTAAAGTCCGTGGGTTCATCCGCAGGTACCATGTACATCATAGCTGCAACAACGGTGCAGCTGGTGGTAAGAAATGAAGAGGCCTTTGCTTGATCAAGTGCATGAAATGGGCGTGGATGCATTCCTCGCACGCCAAGTTCAAGCTATGAGTGAGCACAATGTGGGCGGTAAACATTGGCTTTGAACGTGCCTCGTTCTGTCCGTAGCAGCAGCAGCAGCAGTAGCGTTTCTACAAAGCCTTTTCAGAACCCATCCAGCTCCTGCTTGCCGCTCGTACTTCAAGATCAAGTGCGCGCATATATGTATAGACGATATACGGCGACACTGCGTGTTCTCTTGGCTGAAGCGTTTCGGGAGCTTCAATGCCAGTGGTGCCTGTCGCCAGCGCCTGCGCAAAACGTCTTGGCCACGTCTTTGTGGCTTGTCGCAGCAGGAGGACATACAGAGGCCAAGTGCTGCCGAGCATGCGACAGCTTGAACCGAACATAGCCCCGTCCACCGGATACCGAGGTTTATGTGACGGAGCATCGGGTGATGCGGGGCAGACGAGCCGTCGGGGACAATCGAATGTGTCTGAACTGGGCGCTCTCTCACATATTATCGCGCTGGCTGTCGTCTATTCTAGGACAGCTCCACTGTCTCTCCTCGTTTGCCTCCTTTTCCCTGTCAGGCACATACATATATATATACATATATGTACATATATACATATATTTACGTACCCCCATTATCGTCAGAGGGGACAAGAGCGGCCTCTTTTTCAACCAAACACTCGGTCCGTCTATCCGCTTTCCTTGGTATCCCCATCTTGACCATTACCAGTATCACTGTCCTCTCGCCAGAGTTCACTTTGGCTTTTGCGACCAACTGCCGAGCAACGCAACCGAAGTGTTTTCTGCGCAGGATGCCGCTGGCCATAGCTGCACCATCGACTGCCGTCTCGTTCCAACGACCACATGCACTACCCACTGCAATGACGATCCACTCGCCTCTCGTTGCGAACACTGTCGTATCCACTCGCTCGCCTGCTCGCGGCGACTTGGGGCGCTACGTCTTTCGCAAGAACTTACGCGACACGTTGTATGGCGAGACGGCGTTGTACCACGACACGCACCTCCAGAAACTAGTGGTGCTCAAGCGCATTAGTCTCTCGCTCTTGCACCAGCACCAGCAGCAACAACAACAACAAGAAGAAGACGACGAAGAAGAACGAGACGAGACCGCGGGTACGGTTAGGGAAGATCCGCTGAACGAACGCGCTGTGATGCAGCTGCTCGACGACCCGTTGCTCGCGTGCGCGCCCGGGCGCACTTCCATTGTAGCCTACGAGCGCGAGGGCTTTTTTGCCGTCCAAGACAGTGTCTTTGTAGCCATGGAGTTCTGTACAGGCGGCGACCTCTACGACTATGTCACGGCGCAGCCCACGCGTCGGCTACAAGAGACCGACGCGCTGGCGCTCGTTGCGCAAGTGGCGTCGGGGCTGAGCTTTCTCCATGCCATGGGCGTGGCCCATCGCGACCTGTCGCTCGAGAACGTGCTGCTCGAGAACGGACGGGCGAAACTCTGTGACTTTGGCGTCAGTGTGACGACCGCCCACGACGACTGCGCGTCGCAGCGCGTGGGCAAATACTACTACAGGGCGCCCGAAGTGGGCCACGGCGCCAAGAGGTACGACCCCAAGGCCGCGGACGTCTGGTCCCTCGGCGTCCTCCTGTTGATCCTCCTCACGGGCTCTCCGCTGTTTGTCGACGAGCAGGCGCGGGCCCCGACGTTGCGCGTGCTGCAGAAGTACGGCGTGGGCAAACTCCTCGAGCTCTGGGGCGTGCGCCAAGACGTGTCCACGTCGACGGTCAAGTTGCTCGCGTTGATGCTCCAAGTGGAGCCATTGCGACGGGTTAGCGCAGACGACGTGGCACACCACCCACTTTTGCAACCACGCGCGTGCGTGACCGTCGGGCCGACGGCCCCCTGCACGGGAATCAAATGTAGCCAAGTGGGTACGATATAACACCACAGAGAGAGAGTAGGGTAGGGTAGGAGCGCATGTAACTTATCGACAACAACACTGGTCTGTTTTTGTGACGACCACAGTCATCTCCTTCTACATCGACTGCATCGGCTACTACTACTTCAGGGGCTACTGCTGGCACTACTACGGCCACTTTTGGTGAAAAGTATCCCCTTGGTCCGACGCGGTCGGATAAATCGAGATAAAATCCAGTGCCGACCGTTTCAAGTGCCATTCCAGACAGGCTTCCTCGACGTGGCTCCAATGCGGGCTGCTTCGTCGCGCTCTGTCACAGCGTCGAGCGCCAAGACAGAGCGGAAACCGCCACGGATAGATGCTCGAGATGCAGGCGCGTCAGATGGTACTACGTACAAGTACAGTAGAGGTCGGACTTGTCGTCCAACTGGCCTCGAAGCTGACAGTGAAGACGTCGCACACCGTAACGTCACACCTGATGGTACTATGGACCGCTTTCCAGACACCGATGCAAGCAAAGCAACTACAGCACAAAGTTATAGACACTTGGATGCTGAACAGCGGCTCAGGACGAAACTCGACGACGTCACGCACGTACTGACTGGTCTCTTGGAGCCTTTGGAAGCTCAGAAAGGACGTCTGCTGCCCACTCGCAGTGTTTTGGAGCTGATCAAGTTACTTCAGGACCCCGAGATGTTGCAGGTTGTAAAGCTGGATGGTGAGAGACGCAGGATTGAGACTGAAATGAAGCAAGTGCTGGTGCAGCAGCTTGGGCGGTGTGAAGTAACAGGAAGCGAGACGTTTGATGTCTCGCTGGCGGTGCTGGTCTATTTCCTATCGTCTCATGCAGCTACCAAGTGTTGGTTTGATGACCATGAGCTGCTGGATGTGGTGGTCTACGCGCTCAAGCGAGCTATTGTGCGTGAAGGAGCAAACGAGCATGAGACGCAAGTGACACAGCAAGCAAAGATGGAAGCAAACGAGTCAGTGTCTACTTTTCCAGCTGCCGTTGAAGTTGAAAATTGCTTGAAGCGAAAGAAAAGGTCGAAGACGCTAAAAGATGCTGCAACTGTGAAAGCGGCTGCTGCAGGAGAAACTGCTGCATGCGGCAAGTTGGTGGCGACGACGACGCTTGCGGTGTCCACGGCACAGATATTGGATGAGTCGTGCTGGGTGCAGCTTGATGCACTGCTGCACGACCACGAGTCGTTTTACGTTGAAGGTAAGCTGCACGTTTCGGTTGTGAGCGCGCTAAGTGCTGCGCTACTGAGTCTGCTGCAAGTGGGCGAGGTCTTGTCAAGCTTGACTCCGGGCATGAACCAACAATATCAGCAAAGATCGTGTGATGCTTCGTCGTACGATGCTGCAGAGAACGCTTGCCAACGGATGCGTGCTCGGAAGTCTCAGCTTGTTCGGAATGGTGGAGTGTACGCGTTGATGCGTGATCTTGCTCGGAAGGTACACAACCTCACAGCGACGGTGCCGCTGACCCGAGTTGGAGCAATTACGATGGAGTGTGTTGAACTGCTTCAGCGTATCAAGACGTTGCTATGTGTTTTCGATCAAGTTACGTTTTTGACCTCCGATGTGCAGCGATACATTTCGGAAAAAAGGGCTATTTTTGCACTATCGCTGAAGCTCATTCACCTACTCAGTGAGATGAGCTGGGGTACTCGTGCACAAGGGCGGTGGAAGGCTGAACCTACACGGATGTCGTTGACCATGGAAACGCTGCTCTCGGCTCTGCGTGTGTTAATCAATTTGACCCATCACAACTTGGAGGCTGCACAGCACATTTTTGCCCTGGATGGCATGCAACTCCTTGCGGCCTCTTTCTCCAAGCTTTTGGGTTTTGTGGAGGGAGCCAAGAAGCACCCACTGCAACTATCGGCAGCTAGAAAGTGGGAGTTTGACGCGTGTTTGCTGTTACTGAGTGTGATGGTCAACTGCATTGAATTCAGCGAGGACAACCGTGCCGCATTAGCCGGGGTGTCGTTGACCCACGGTGAGTCAGCTTGTGGTGCATGCAGTTTGTTTGCGTGTTTTTTCTCGACAAAATGCAGTCGTACCAGCATCTCATCGATATGTTCGATACTGAGGGTGCAAGTGGGGCAAACTGTATCGACGATGAAGGTGACGACTGGAATCCTGAAGATGTGATTCTTGGAGGTTGCACATCGTTGCTACTTGGGTATCTGATAGAGGGTTCAACAGCCAATCGCGCCCTTATATTGAGCTTGCTGCCAGGTTGCTCACCTTGGTTGTTACTTCGTGCTCTCGGTGTGTTTGTGGCATTTCACTCGCAGATCGGTGCGCTGACCCGCGAAGTCGCCACATCTATTCTTCATGTCGAAGAAGTGCTGAAGTCATGCCAGGAAGGGTTACGTGGCGCACACCATGCTGGTTTGCTCACAGATGCTGCCGAAGTATCTTTTCGAGTCGCTGAGAAGCAATGCGGTTCTTCAGTACCGTCGCTGAAATTCGTAACGGCCGCGAAAAGTAAAAGTGCTGCACCATTTGACATCAGCTCTGGGGTTGCTGTAGAGGAGTTGGTCGATACAAAGAGTGGTGATGCATCGTCACCATTTCTGCGAGGTCGTGCCGTGAAAAATGTCTGCTCTCGTCTCGCTGACTCAGACGAAGAGCACGAGCCACGCGGACAGGTCCAGACGTCGAATCGTGATGGTCCCCAAGTTTTCGTGAAGCATGTCTCAGCTTTGGTGAATTCGTATGGGAAGCGACCTTATGCTGATTGCTCAGTAGAAGCGTCCCATGCTTTACAGTCGAATATCAGAAGTCCCCTCTGTCCCAGCATATCTTCACCCGCTACTGTGCTGTCAGACGACTATTCCTCATCTCCCGTCGTTACGCGGCTTATGAAACGCACACGTGAGATCGTTGAAGAGTTGGACGCCGAGCTCGCAAAATCGGATGACGTAGCGTCCGAAACGAAATTCGACGGCGGTAAAGCAAGCACTGTACCATCCTCATGCATGGTGCTTACGATGAATCTGACGTGCCGTGAGAACGAAAGTGATGGACTGGATATTGCTCAAGATGTGCTTAGAGAAAACTGCAACGCCGCCGATATGAGCACAAACAAGATCATAGTCGAGCAAGCTGTTTGCGGTAAGGTTTCCTCGATGTGGAAACAGAAACATTCGCACCATTTGGACGGGACCGCAAAAAAAGCCGTCTTTCACGAGGGGTCATTGTTCGAGTTCGCGCCCACAGGCACATATTATTCTACGCCTTTGGGTAAGCACGAAGGAAAAGTACTGCTACAAACGCCGACGAAGAGTGGACACTCGTCTAGCTTTGATCGAACGTCGCCATCACTCAATCTGACGCCTACGAAGACGACTCCGTTGACGCCATCGCAATCGCAGAGATCTCAAAAGCTGCTGTATAAGAGCAGTCACTCTTCGATAACAAACCAGCCGCCGTTGTCGGCCAAGCCGCTTCGCCGCAAAGCAAAAGGAATGCGTGCTGCTTCTAGCTCTATATTCGACTTTACGGATTCCGATTGAACCATCCGTACGGCCAGTGTTCGACCTGAACGTTCGCCACGATCGAAACATCTAATGAATGAAATCGCCATTCGTGCGTCTATTTATTCGGAGCATTGAGCTCGTCAGTTTGTTTTAAGCTTCACGCATTCGCCGCTTTGCGCACGGGTACTGGAATGATGAGCACGACATTATGTGTGGCATCAGAGGCTTTCTTCGAATACTTTCGCGATGACCGCGAGCTATTGCAAGCAGATCGACGGTCAAAGGTCTTATCAATTCCCACATATCGTACACTGAAGCACGGTCCAGACGATGGAATAGCACGTGGGGTAAGCAAACCTAGACACTGCAGAGTCTCTATAGACTATAAGGCGCACAGATCAGCCTAGCGTTCGATGGACGTTATTAACTCGCTCCAAAAACGTGGCTAAAGCGTCCTGGTGGTCTATAAAATGACTAGATAGAGCCCAAGAACCCAGCTGCAACAAGGTTCTCGTGTGCTGTTCTAGCGCTTGCTCGCACGTTGCGCATAGAGACGCTGGGTTCTCAATGTTGAGGGGTTGATCACACCATGCCAACTTGTCAAGCTCGTCAGCGCAGTCACGTTGACTTACCATTGACATGCGCTCGTCATGGTCAATGCTGCAGCTATTCTTTTTTACATTGTTGAACACTGCAGCAAAAGATCCGCTGGGCTGGAATGGCCCTTGCCACCACCACATCTTCCGAGGTCGACGCATATTTATATCATCGATTGTGTCTCGACTGAACGAAACTGCGCTTTCGACCCAGCCCGAGCATATAGAGCATTGAGCGTAGGAGCGCAATCGCGACTATCATTTTTCGTGTCAGGGCATGATGCAAGATGCACAATTTTCCTGAAGTATGACAGTGCAGTTGACAAGTCTGACCTACTGCGTACCGCAAACTACGGAAAGTATTACTGTGAAGCTCGTGGCAGCTATAGTGATAGACAACCTCAAAACGTTGACGTCGCCCATACCACTATCAATGCCTGGTCACGGATACTTTACTCGCTCGACTCGATATGTAACGGGGTGTTGCACGTGTGTTGACATTAGATTGGTCAATTAGAATATTATCGTAAATGATAATACTCGCCAGTATTCACCTTGCTACGTAAATATTGAATGAATATGACCTTCGAAGGTAAGATTCGGCACTGCTCTACTCACTGGCTGATGTGAGCCGTTTTATCAACCAACTACACCACGAATCGCTGCTAGACGAGCGCAACAGGTGGTGAGCAGGTCGCTGCATTGATAACCTGTAGTTTGGTTTTGTCAACGTACGACAGAAGAGTGTGTCCTTCACTCACTCGTAAGTTTATATTATATGCAGTTCTACTTTTTCCTTCTTCTAGCGTGTCCGTTCAGGAGATCAGCCTTCCTCTGCACGCACAGTGTACGTGAAGCTTCGAGGCACTTGTCTACACTGTAGTGTAGGTAGCTTGTACTGTGTCGGGTACAAACATCGGTATCCTGTTGCACAATATTCTGATCTCCCTTGATAATATCTTGTCCAGTGCGTTGATACTTGATCCACTTGCCTTCTGAGAATTTGAGCCATCTCGCGATTTCTGCATAGCCTGTAACGGTTGTCCGCGTCCAATCGCAGTTTGGGCGTTGACAGTCCTTGAGATCCTGACCAAACAATCCAGAAGTGTTTTTTTCAACGAGCCTAGATCAAGTTTCTGACGTCTGGGGACCAAGCATTCTCTCTCGGAAAAAGAAGGACACGCACAGATTATAAACGGAATTGAACTATGTTTGATGCTGATGAGTTATGTACCAAAACTACGACGAGGTCCGTCTTTACCCGATAATTCAGAAATCAGTGGCCACATGTCGTTCATATCACTACCATGACACATGTGATCTACATCAATTAGTCGCGATCCAAATCTTCACGATCGTGATCGGACTCGAATCAATCTTGTCGCCGTTGTTTCTATCACCGTTTTTGAAGCCTTCCTTCTCCTTGAACCGTCTGGCACGTTTTTCATCTGCGTGACTTACCTATAGCCGCTCCCAGACTACGTAATTAAAGCATGTTCCATATTTTTAGTGTCTTCTTATGGGCTGCGCTGGATTGCGAATCGCAGAATGTGATCGAGGCTGGATCGTAGATCGCCATTTCTTATCCGCTATCACTGCCAGGTGGTTGATACATTTGGTCTTGGTCCTACTACCTCTCTTTTCATAATCGAGTCCTTCCCGTCCAATCGTTGTGAATATTATATCTTCCAGATTGTACTCCGCCAGTCAGGATCGTCTTCGGATTTGTCCGAGGCATGCTACCCGTCGTTTCAAAGTTGAATCTTGATCGCTTCACCACACTAGGGAGGTGTAGATCACCGATCCCGAAAGGGATTTCTACCATCTTGACCTACCAGTCCACAGATCTTCATTTGCCATATGTCCCATTCCGTTAGACGTCAAAATCAGTCGACCCCCGTCACTCACCTCTGCATGTTTCGCTCTTTGCATGCTTGAGTCTGTCAGATCAGTCCTAATTGTGTTCGTTCAATACCCGGTACCTGGTCGAAGCAGTTGCACGTGGGTATCGTCGGTCATCATACGGTCGGTCTCCTGATACCGGACTCTCGGAGATCTCGACGGCATGAAACTGTTCCGCATCTCACATTGGGTGGGCGTCATTGCTTGTCCTAGATTTACGTCATGACGTTGGTACAGTCTTGATGCGGAGCGCTCATCATCGCTGTCAACTTTGTAACTGTCACCTGCTGAGCATCAGGATGATGAACGAATTGCTGCGCCCTGATACATCAATAGTCTTAAGAATGAGGTGTATGCTTGATCGCAAGTACTTCCAAGTACAGCGAAGCTGCCATGTATTTTTGGATGTCAAATGAATGCACACGTATTCAGTCTCTTCGTTCCTTGATAAACAAAGAATGACGGTCTAAATGATTACTTTGCTCTTCGAGCCAAGAACAAATTGGTAGCAAATTGACCGCAATCATTTGTTGCCAATTTGTAGAAGGGGTTGTAACTCATTTCGAATATAGAAATCCACATGTCTTTGTAATATCATATTCTTCTCTATGAGAGCTGAAGCAAACCGATTGTATTACTAATCCAAGCAATTCGTTTCTTCGCTAATCAATTATTTTAATTCCCAAACCATTCTTTCAAATAGCATTCAATCTTATTGCTCGACAGTCTATCCTTCGCATTTATTATTCTGACTAATTATTTGAAAAGCTTCCATCAGTTTTCTTTATAAAAGTAAGGCTAGCAAACTTACCCCACTGTCATTCTAAACAATTCGTTGGCCGACCCAATATTCGATCATAACTTCCAAAACGTTATCTCGAATAGTAGAGTCGTCAAGCTAAACTCAGCTTTCCTCAACTACACTTTTAACAGTTCGTTTGGCACTTTCACTTATTAATCGAGTTCTCCGGACAAAAAGGTTTTCAAACGTTAAGTTGATGAACGAGCTCCACTACTTGATGATAGAAATAGTTGATACTGTTCGTCGATCAAAAGTAGATCCAAGTTTATTGATGATTATACACGATAAAACCCCTCGCCCTAGCACCTCAACGAAAGTATTTATTGCCTAATGTGAAATCTTAAATATTGCTTTGTAAAAACCTTTTAATAAATGCATATCTACAGACAGCTGACAAACACTATATGTTTTGTGCCAATTTTGCGATTTTAAACTCAACTAATAGAACACATGACCCGTAACTAAAGAAGTTTTTATCTTTGTTTTAAGCAAAGTACTTTTCTATCGTCAGCGTGCTGTACCAACCGACCGTGTACGCGTAGCTGTTCGTTCGTACCTTGACACAATCAAGCTTGAGCGCTTTTCGGCGGAGGATCAGACTGTCTATTGGGTCGTTATGACTGCGCTAAGATGTCTGTATGGATCTCTCCCTAATCTTCTACCATAATCGGTCGTTCGTCTCCTCGCTTTCTCATTCTGCTTGCTCGAGACGTCGGGCTTTCACGGGGGGGGGGCACTCTGCAAAGGGCACGTGGAAACGGGTATCCAGTCCTGGGGGCAGGGCGCAAAAATCGCAGAAAACGCCGGGTACCAAACCGATCACCCCCGATAGGCCGCTGGTGCACCTGGACGGTTCCGATCAAAATCACGTTCTAGGCGAGTTCTCTTCGTGGGACCGGGATCCGCGCTAGGCGAACGGGTCGGCGACTGAAGAAGGCGGACGGAAAATGGCAGGAATTCGCTTGCGCCTTGTGTGCAGGGGGTCGACACTCCGTCAATATGCCCCACACCGCGGGATACCGGGGGATTGCTTCCCTCTCGGGTCGCACGCTGCGGTGCCTTCCGTAGCACGCGCAGCGGAGAAAAGGCCTCCCCCTTATATACTTGGCCCCACTAAGGGGGGACTTCCCGTCCAAGGTAAGGGGGCCAGATGACTGGCTCTTAGGAGGTCTTCGTCTCGGTCCGTTGTTGCTCGAAGAGCCCAAATCGGGAAGTGAGCTTGAGCGCTTTTCAACTGCACGCGTTTCCACCGCACACTTCTTCGTCACCTTGGCCCTCTCTCGACTACGTGATGCGTCGTCATTTTTTGAAGAGGTGCAAGTTGGCGTCGGCCCATATACCGTATCTTTTTAAAAATGCCTCTGTGTGTGCCGGCAAATCAGGATAATTAGGATGGTTCATAGCATGTACGTATGCCGTGCGGGGATCGATCTTATTATTGGCCAGAAACTTGAACGCCTTTGTGAGTGTCTTCTCGTTCGACACGATCTCCGCCATCTTGCTCTCTTCGACCGTAGCCAAGTTCATCAGCTCTGGAAATTTGGAAACCCACAATCCACGTTCTTCCTCGGGATCGAAGCTCGAAGAATCGTCCGCGGTAGGTCTCGCGCTCTTCCCCCTTAAGGTTATTTTGGGGATGACGTTGCCGGGTCCTTCTGTGAGGGGACCACTCTCTGAACTGAAATCGGATGGAAGCGCGCGCGACAGCTCCAAGTTCGTCGTCGCAGCACTTCCACCCGCTAGTGCTGCTGCAGTCATGAGAGCTTCTAGCACCAGCCGCATCGTCGGTACTGTCGTCGCGGAGGAGTCTTGTGTGCTTGTGGGGGTTTTGCGGAATGAGCGATTCTTAATGTGATTGATGACAATAAGAGACAGTAAGCTCGGCCGTGAAAGCCGGTGAGCTGGGGTTTTTACTGAAGCAAAGCCCTGTGGACGAGAGTTGTCGATTCTTTGGCGAAAGGACTGCAAATGCGACATGGTCTGTCGGGTGCAGCAATACTGCTTCTACGCGACACGTCTACGCAACACATGTCCAGCAGGAAAGATGTGGCAAGTCTACGCAACGCATGCCTAGCAGAAAAGATGCAGTAGAATCTAGAAGATGCGTTGTCGTCGCCTCGGCCACGATAGACGACCGAATGTCGTGCGGCCATTTGCACAGCAAATAATGGGTATGACTTCTCGAGCAGTTGACAAAGCAGCACTAGTAGATATCGATACAAACATATTTTGCTGCATCGTTTACGGTCGACCGGCCAACCAGCCAGTCAACCGCAGAGCGTGACCCGCTTGGTCTAGCTGGCGGTCAATACGACGTACCCGGTAAGAGCTAACGAGCTGAGAATCGTGGGCAATGGTGCAAACACCACTTCTACACGTCGCAAGGATGGTGGTCCAGACATGGACAGTCGTATTTTTAATGACATTGAGTAAAGCACGCGGCCACTGAAAGGAGTTTGGTCGCGGACCTTCGTCCGTCTCAGATGGCGACTGCATGTAAGAAGATTGTCCACGAGATATACCAACACTGCATATGTGCGCAAATTTGCACTTCACTCGTCACAGCCGAAAAGGTCCATCCGCATGTGTCTTGGAACGAGTCGGCTTGATTTTGGCCCCTCCAATTACTTCACCAACGATACTAACACTCTTTGCACGGTCCGGGAGGTATCATCCCTCAATGTTCGATGGCTTGAGTATGTATAAAAGACCAGAGCCACTTACTGCTTCCTTCTCACTGGGATAAAGGGAACAAGCGTTTCCGTGATACTTTTGTCTGCTTTTACAAGCACAAAGTATCGTATTAAAGCAGCTTTTTGTATAGGAGGTACCAGGTGCCCATATGAACTGCGCTCGTACATTGCATGTTGTGCCTGTTGTGTTTGGAATGGACGTGCATGGGAAAATGGAAACAAACGCCTCCAGGATCATGGTCTTTGCGACTGTGCTGCCGGTGGCGCAGATTTCTACTTATGCCGTCTACTTGGCCTGATTGTAGATGTCCGCACTTGCAGCTTCTTGCGCAAAGCTACGAACGGCACTATTCCACAATAATTTCTGCCACCGACACTTGGTGTTGCTCGCGCAAAGCAGCTCTCACGACTAAGTCGATGTAAAATTCACTGCAGCACATTAGTGTACAGTTTGTGTCATTTATTCAGGTTCAAGTCTATACTACACATACATGTCAGTACGACATTCAGCGAGCGAAACCTCACAGGCGTGGCGCTATGCCGTGATCGTGCAAAATGGCTTCGGCTGGAGTTTCAACTACTTGTCAGTAACACAGTGAAGCCTTTCACCGCGCAAATGCATTCGAATCAACGCAAGCTTTTGTGCACCCACAAGGCACTACGAAGTCGTCTATTCTGCTTCGTAGACTTCAAGTCCGCTAAACACGCATATAGACTCCGCATATATATCCTTCCTTCACATCCGTCGCGATGTAGTAGCAACGTTCCCGTATCGACGACAACATATAAAGTGCACTAGGTGGGAGGAGAAAGGGAAGTCGCTCGGTCCCGCCTCGTATGTGCCGAACATTCTCGAGCCTAGCTCCAGATGCTTTACGTCCGGGCTTAAGTAACGGTGTTTATCTTGCGTCGCCTCATGACTTCTAATGTCAAAGGGTTTGTCCGTCAAAGCATCGAAACATCAAGCGGCATATTTGGATGCTCATTTTGAGCGCTTCATTCACCATACTGACGGTCTCGCTTCATCGCCGCCATCTATTGCCCAGTCAGCTGCGTTTACGGTAATCCATTTCTGTAATCTACACTTGTCGAATACAGCAAAACTTCCCGAACGCTACGACAATACAGCCGCCCTTCAACAGACAAGCACTGACGCTCGCCAAACGAGCTCATTGCTGGATCGAGCGGCTCTCGGTACCCAGCATACTATTGAGCCCGTCCAAATTGTCAGTGAGCTCATCTGCCAGGACCAGCCCGGACTGTCTGACTTGCTTGCACAAGCGTGTGGATCGTATAGGTGCATTACAAAGCCGTTTCGATGCGTTGTCCACTGTACGGCTGTATGTCCAGCTTTTGCACGAAAGCATGCCGTACTACCTCAGCTCCAAAAATTTCAGCAAAACGTTCGACAGACTCATGCGATTAGCACTCTGTCTTTCACCAGAAGGCACAAGCCAGCAACTACAAGCCAGCAACCCAGGCGTCGCAGGACCGGACACTACACAGGATCGCCTTCCATGTGCAAACCCAAACGTGTTGCAGCCTTTCTGCTCTTTATCATCAGCGCATCGCTAGAAGCGCTCAGAAGCTTTTTCGACACATCAGTACGACTTTTATCAAAGCTTCTGCTACCGATTCGAGCATCCTCATCGCTGTCTGCCTGGACCTGCTCCAGTGGTGCTGACTGTTTCGTCCATGATTGCCAGGCACTCGACGGCTTTACGAAATGTCACGAAGAGCACCACATGTGCACCACTGTCGTAATGTGCCGCGTCTCACCGCGCTTCGTGACCAGAGGCACGGCCTTTCATTACTTCGTCGGCTTGCCCCGTCCATGAGGTTGCAGGTGTGAAGGCTACTTCGATAATCTTCTTGCAACCCGCCAGCGCAGCGGAGACGAATGCGGAGCGCGGTCATACTCAACGACTTGTCCTACATTTTCCGACTACATTGATCAGATTTGTGCGCCACATACGCGTTCCCGAACAATGACCGACTGCATCGAGGACCTCGCGCGCGAACCGATACCTTGTAGTATCGAAGTAGTCGCCGCAGCGTTGTAACGTTACCAATTGCTTACGAAGGAGTCTTTTTAGTCGCGAAGCATTGATTTCTCGGATGCTGTCCAGATCTGCGCACCAATCGTCGCTCCATCAACTCCGCGTTTCTACTGCCAGGCAAAGCGCAACCAGTGTGTAACCTTCCAGAAGAAAGCACGCCATATGCTTCTACTCACACACAAATGATACACGTTAGCGGTTAACCTCGGTAGTCGTGACGTGATAACAACACTGCGTTGATCGAACGGTGTGAAGTTGCGATTCTCCCGACAACCAAATCGACCGAATCTTTCGCATGAGACATTTTGACATAGGTTTTCCGATAGACGTACGGCGTAGCTGCCGCGTTGCCGCGAGCTGGCAGGCCACAAAGTTTCGTCCCACTGCGTGAAACGTACACCATCGAATAATCGTCGCGACAAGACAACATCACATACACAGGGCTTTTGACGAGGCTACACCAAACGCTATTGATGGACTTTTCTCGAGCGACAGCCGTGATTGAGGAGCGCATAAATACGGCAGCGTCGACTCGGACTTGTCACGTCAATTCTTATCGCGTTCATTTGTGCCAGGCCAGCAGCAAACGAGACCGAGCTGGTGAGAGCATGGACGTCATATCGACCACACCGCTGGATAGTATCACGTCTCGCTGTGTTGTTGCAGAAGCTACAGACGCTTCGTGCTGAGGAAAAGCTCAGAGGTCTGTGGTGACTGCAACTGTGCTGTTTGTCGAGCGCGGTACGCACCTACAACGTGATGATCAGAGAACTGTACCGCTCTGACACAAGTACGCGAGGCTTGATCTGCGACCAGAACGGACTTGATATCGAGGTCAGTATTCTTAAGGTTCAATGTCTGCAAGTCGTTTCGCATCACGTTCTTCTTACGCAAGGTGCAGGCATCGCTCGCCCTTCTTATCCACCAGCAAGTTTCTCACGAGCGTCAGTTGCACCTCGTACCAAGTGACTACGCCAATGGACGTGGGATAGTACCTCAACACACTTGAAAGCGCGCGGCGTCTTCACGTCTGTCGTTCCTTCGGTATGGGTAGTCGTCCTGGGCGCAAGATTCGTCCAGCAATAACTTTGTGGTGGCCTCACGTCTTTCGCTTGACACGCATGAAGAAGCGAGACACTTCGCTCATGGAGACCTCAATTAATTCTCCTTTTCGCATCTAAACGCTTCTAACTCAGCCGTTATGGTAGACAGACTGGTTGTCCATATCGTTTTACGCCGCGACATGCAGCCCATGGCGGTCGTGTCAAATGAGCTCTTTCCTCCAAAGTGACGTAGGTTTTCCCCACCACTCCCTCGCGCTGCGTTCGACATCCCGGCTTACCAAAATTTCTCCGAGCGCATTGCAGAGGATGTCTATGCGCAAACAAAACGCTGCGCTTGTGTTGACCGCCGTGAGGAGCCCGTATTGCTAGTCCAGCAGTACTGAGGGAAGCGCGTGATGGTCAATTTGCCCGGATTGTTCACGGATACGTTCACAGTGCGGTTTTTCATATGCACAATTGTAGCAACTTGCGTCGTTTCGTTGTTGGATTCAGATATGGAGCGGAACTATTCGACTATCACAAATCAAGCTGTACAACAACCACTCTTGTCTGCACTGTATTAGACACGTACAGTGGTAGCGCATGCGCTTTTCGATACAAGAAGGTGTATTGGTTGGTTCTCTGCGTGTCTTTTGTTGTCACGGTTCGCATCCCTGTGACAACATGGCTGACCGCAAAGACTCCAATAGTCTATTCTGTAGCTTGTACGATCAATATTTCTATACGAGGCACGAACAACTGGGCAAGCCTGTAGGCGACGAGCAATTTGCGCAGATAGCGTGTTGGTTGCACTGAGTTGAACACTAAGGTGTTATAATGCAAGCATGGCTCTTTATTCGCCCGCGTCTGATAAGGTTGGTGCTGCTGTAGTCCCTATTCCGCAAGAAGTGAACCGTAAAAGCGTTTCACCCACGCGACTTCTTTGTGTGATTCGGCGCGTTCGATACCCACCGCTCACCATAAATCTTGGCGTAGACATATCGCTTGTCACAACTGTCAGAGCGCATGACATCTAGCTCAAAAAGCGGATGTCGCTCACACAAAACGAGGCGCGAGTTCGAACTAGCGATGGCAATTGACCTGGCTAGCCACACCACTCACGCGTAGACCTCCTACGATGACTGCGCGTTGGTGACCTTTCGATTCCTACATGCCCAACCTGAGCATAAGTTTGCTGACAACAAAGATGCGTGTGGCTTTTATCCTTATTTCGAACGTGCTCTGCAGCTCGTGTGAGCTTGCACGAGCGCTCGTATCGGGTGCAAGATTCGTCCACACCACTTTCTAGCGTGGACGAACAACGGTCTTTGAATTCGTCAGAATAATCACATCAGCACCGGCTGCAACGAGTAAAGACAGTAACGCACAATGTGAGACAACTTGTGGCAGTGTACAATATTGGGTACGAGAAGCATTGTTGCGTTTTCTACACTGCTATATCTGACCTCACCCACCACAACAGGAGTTTGCGAATTTCGTCCACACGATAACGTCCCAACGAGGGTAGTTTCAGTGTGCGCGTTTATCCGAAGGAAGCAAAGCGCTTCGATCGCGTGGCATAGGTCGACTGCGGACAATCGAATGCTTGTTAGTCACCAACCTGTCACACGTGTTATGATATGTGAAGCTCGAACGACAGCGGTGGCCGAGTGCTATTGCGACAAACGGTCCTAGTGGGCAATCTACGGGGCATGTCTATGCCTTTGCTCGACCCAGCGTCGAGCGCTAAAGCATTCACGAACTAATCAATACTCGCGCGAAACGACATGAAGCCCCGTATCGAGACTGACATCAGGACGAATCGAGGGTGGCGGTCAGTGTATGTTTGGAGATATCATCAAGTAGCGTGTGACAATATACGCAAAGTATGCATACCACGTTCGTAATCGTTGCTATCGAATTCGCTATCTAAGCACAGCTCGATTTCTGCTTGTAGACAAGGACTGAGACGCGCAGCTTCTGCAAAAGCACCAGCGTCTGGCGGATTTATTGAAATAAACTCACGACAATGATGCCTGACAACCTATATGCCATAGTTTCTAGGGCACGATTGGCTCATTCATTCGCCACATAACTCTGCCTCCGTCTTCTGACGGCGCGTCATGTTACAAGACTCCATCAATCATTTGCCTCACGAACTCCAAGCACGTCGAGCGTTTTTACTACAAAATGGCTACTTCACAAAACGTGTGATACGATTTGGCAGTGCGAAATAGCAACCGGTAGCTTGGCCTACGTCCGATTAGCGACGCAACAGTTGCTTGAGGTTTCGAACGGTCGAGTGTGGCAGCGGCGTCCGTAGTGTCATTTGTCGACCAAAAACGATTGAACGACAGACAACTCCGCTATGGACATTCGAAGTGTTTCTTTGACGCATTGCATATACGTTTCATCGCACTGCTCTTCTTTGTGTGCCAAGTGGTCACACTTTGCCGTCACTATCACCGCAACGAGCTGTACAACTCGTCTATGCCATTCAAATGATGCGTTCGGTCCAATGACTTTTCATCTCGTCAAATATTCTGTACAACTGAACAGACTGTCTTCATCCGCTTCAAAGGAGCTACAGCTTCGGTGAATTGTCGACCGAAAGACCTTTCGAGAAAGTCGTTACGCCACTTCGTGTTGACGATCGGCACCATCGTCGCATCAACTGCAGGCGTACTTGTTTATACCAATGCTCTACCTTTCTCGATAGTGCACAGCCCATTGTCCTAACTCACAATCGCGCTACCTTCTGTCGCCGTCTTTTCTCCATCTGCCCCCTATACTATAAAGGACTTGCCCAAAATGAAAGACACTTTCGTCGAACTACGTCGCTGACGCCGACATCGAGCGACTTTATCTCGATGTTTTCTCATGCAATATCCAGCATCAAACGCTTTCGACATGATATCCCATACCGCTCGAAAAGCCTCTCAAAACGCATGGAGCTCCGCCGTGACCATCACTCCGCCCCCAGCACAGCGCCCGCTGTCCGCCCGAAGCGCAGACCGTCCACCGCTGCCGACGGCCCGCGCGTCAAACGTCGACGTGCTCTCTTGTCGACTGTATCGTCAGCGTCTCCTACTGCGTCGACCACCGACGTCGAGCGTCGCTCGGCGGGATCCGCGCGACAGCGTACAGCTGTTCCGCTACGTGCGGTGTCCCCTGCGCAAGCACGTTTTGACGCCGAAAAAAGTGCTTTTCAAAAAACGTCACGCCACCAAAACACCCTCCGCGGTGACAACCAACAGCCGCAGTCACTTTTTGGCCGACGTGCCGACCCATCGGTGCAGAGTCCACTTTCTCGGAGTCGCGCCCTGGTGCATGCAGACGCGTCGGTAGCAGCTGCAAGACACACTGCCCGTCCCGCGTCGAGGGCGCCATGTCCGCCGTTGACTCAGTGCGACACTACGTCCGATGAGCGACGTCCAAGTGGATCGAAAATGCTTTTTATAAAAAGCAAAGGTGATGTCGACAACCGCGAGGATTGTCGGGCATCTGTGGCGCACGCGACGACTCCAGAGATGGTGGAAGGAGACGATATCTTACACACACTCTTGAGCGTGAGCACGCCACGTGTGACACGCCGATTCCCATCGGAAGACGCACTTACAGGCCGCGAGCGGAGAGACCGACAGGTGCTTCGTCAACGTCGACAGCGGTTGCAGCGTGAATATTCCTTCGTGAAGGAGGACAAAGAGACGGCACTTGGTGGGTGTCGAACAAGAGATGCTCATTTGGGCGGGACGTTGCTGCCGAGTCAAGAAGGAAGCGGAAGGAGGAAGAGAAGTGTCACGCCGAGTGCGTGGGTGCAAGAGACTCGAGAGTTGAGTAAACGTCAAAACATGGACCACGACATTGTCGATGGAGGAGGGAATGGCGTGGTTGGACGTCGTCTCCATTTGGTTGGAGAGGAAGTGGAGACGGACGAGGAGTCGACTGAAAGCAAGATTGAACGCCTGAGCAAGGTGATGCCCATGAACTGGCGGCACTTTTTCGTGTGGCTCGTGTCGGGTGCTGTGCTGCTCTGTGCGATGGTTGTGGCTGTACCGTTTGTGAAGAGTGTGTTGAAAGCACCTTTGCCGTATTGTGACAGTGAATGGAGTGAGGTGGACGACGGCACTTTCGTGTTGGCTGATCCGGCCGACGCTTTCGATCGCTCGAAAGCGCTTCAGCCATTTACCAGCACTGCTGCAATGAAGACGCACGGCTCGGAACCCATGTGTCAACCATGTCCCGTGTACGGGAATTGTCTCAATGGCTCTATCATATCGTGCGCTACGCCCTATGAGTTGCAGCATGGGTTGTGCAAGGAGAACTCGGAAGTGCAGGCAAGTCTCAATCGACTCGCGTTCTATATACGGAAAGTTATTGTCGACAAAGCTGCCAAGAGTGCGTGCGACAATGTCTCGTTTTGGACCTTTCTACACTCCGACAGCAGCGCGCCGAAGCCTGCGCGTGATGTTACGGCACCGGTCAAAGTGCTGCTTTCGGATGTGCAGGCGCTTGTGGCTCAGTCGTCATCGTTCGAAAAGACAGTGCCCGATTTGTCCCGTGATTACGTGTTCAATCGTGCCTTAGACATGGCCTTGCGTGACCTCGAGGATGTTTCTGCCACCGAAGATCAGACTCAGCTTATGGTGGGCAAAAGAGTCGTTCCGTGGGCATGCCGCGCCAAACGTCAACTGTACGAGCACACCGTGCTCATTTTACTAGCTGTCGCATTGGGGGCAGCACTAGTCTCTGGTTACCGGCAGTTTCTCCTGTACCGCACGAGGCGCCAACTCGTGGACCGATTTGTCAGGGAGGTGCGCTTTCTCCTTTTGGACCGGACGCGCCACGCAGATCAATGCTACCCGGTCGAGAGTCTCCGCGACCACTTGTTTGGGAAACAATCGCTGCAAGATCGAGCATGGCTTTGTAAGTCCGTCTGGCCGAAAGTTGTCGCTGCCGTGAAAAAGGACCCCCGAATCAGCGCGCGGGCGATGCGGTGCGTTCGATCAAAGCATTCTTTCGTAGGCAGGATTGACCTTTTGAGCTGACGTTGGACGTTTTGATTTATGCTGGGTAACACAGAGTGCAAGACAAAGACGTGACCGTCTGGGAATGGGCTTCATCGCCGTCGCGAACTCACAGGCGAGCTGGGAGTCATCAAGGTCGTCGATCGCGCATGTCTAGACCACATCAAGGAAGTATTGGAAGCTCTGGACTGGCTCCACTCGGGCAACGCAAGAAGAAAAGTCGAATGAGCCTTCCGTGAGGCCCGTTTGCTCTTGGGATGCCCGGAGCAGCAGTATGGTACCATTGACCTGCATGTCTATCTCCCATTCGCATGGGGCAGCTGAACCATCACAACATTGGAGACCAGTCTATCGCAAATCGCTTCTTGCATGATCACATTCGTCTGGTATCAAGCATCCGACAGCGCTCTCCTGTCAAGCTGCAATGCAACTTTTCATTTCAAGCAACACACCAGTGGCATTGTTACCGTCGCATGAGCCATTGTCAAAGCCTGGTTGTCCGGACAATACTGAGCTTGGTCATAGTAACTCCCGGCAACCTGTAGTTCCCTTCGCTAAACCGCGTGCAGAGCTGGACGCCCTGAGCATATTGCCATGCAACTTTGTGCGTGCAGATTGAAGCTTGCCAGGGAGCTTGAGACGACCTACGTAATCTAGAGCCACGACGACGTCATTAGGGAAGCTAGGGTCGAGTCTCGCTGCCTAGAACCGAAAAAGAATAAGTATAACTACCTGCAGCACTGTGTAATTGGCATGATATGGTGCGTAACTGGAAACCTTGACTAGAACGAGATTGAGTTAGTGCGTACGTAAGCTGTACAGGACACCAAACTTACTCATTTTCTGGCTTGCCATCATGACGTGAGCTACATGGTGTTGGCAGCGTAATGGCAGCGTTTACCCAAGCTCCTGCTGTAGCCAAAGCATCGATAGTATTAGCGTGTCACTTCACTGACGACGCCACTATACGGGCTTTTTCGGGCTTGAAAATGATTTAGTTTCTTCTGACTGAGTAAACGCAAGTTTGCAAGCTGTAGGGCGAAATTACGATCAGTGATGTAGGGGGCGAAAGGGCTAGGAAAGAGGGGTACAGACGACGTGACACAGTGGCTGATGTGCAACCAGCGAAACCAATTTGCTCAGCGTACCGAAAAGTGGATTAGCATTTGTATGTTGGGTCCCTAGGAAGCAACAACTCTACCACGCTACAACATGCCAGCTGCTTATGCATTACACGAACAAACTAATGCACGCTTTCTTTCTCTCTGTCTGCCACGCACGACGCGACGGCATGTCAAGGAGGCTTTGGCGAACTAATACTTGTCCCGATGTTTGAAACCCTTGTCCTTCAACATGTGAATTTGTGACAGTGGGGTAGAGCGCTGGAACAGCTCGGTTTTCCTAATGTCGTCACCACCGAAGCATAAGACTTTCTTGAGCCACGATCCGAACCCACGTTCTTCTTCCAGTGCCTCGTTCCGAGCGCTCTTCTTGCCAGTACGTAGATTCCCCCCTTTCTTTGCGTGAGAAAAGGCGGTAACGATCGCAGGTGCGACCTCCTCGAGTCGGGCTGTGTTGAAGTCCTGAGCCGTAGGAAGCGCAATGCCGCCCGCGTGAAACGATGCCGCTACAATGGCCGCAAAAAAATAGCTGAGACGCATGGGCGTGTGGGTGCTTGCGATATCAAACGTGGAGTAGTGGATGGATAGTGCGTTGCGTGCCTCGCAACTTGATGAATGAGCTCGATGCACGATCGAAGTCGGGTCCGAACATCAAACACAACCAAGAGATGCCCTTGCTCGCTCTCTCGCTCTCTCGCTCTAAGCTGAGAAATGCGATCACAAGCCATATGGTTTCTGTTGCGATTTGCATAATGATGTGCCTGCACCATCTGGAACCCCGCACGCCATCTACTGTAATACCTGTATGTTTATAAATTCAATGGGATTTTCGTCATAACCCCACCCTAGAGTGGATTATTATCAAAGGGGAGGGTTTATTTAAGACTGATGATTTGGTATAAGAACAAACGAAAATAAAGGAGATAAAAATTTAGGCTTTGAAATTGGGGTAAAATTTTACATTTTGTTGGAACAAGATTGAGCGAAGAAATCGTGATAAGACGACGTCAAACCAGACGCCAGCACAATTCTCGTGCTTAACATTTTATTCTGCAAATTTGCTCGTAGTGATCAAACGGTCGGGTCTCATGCCCCCCCGCGCTAGTTGGCGACCCATGGTCGATCAGGAAATGGGAACCTATGTTGTATTTTACTAGTAGCAATTGCGTAGAGCATGCTGAAGCATATACCACTTTGGCGTTGTGGTGTTCTGGTAGGTTCTAGAATCCGATAAGACTACTCTTAGTTGCTTCGGGAGAGGTTCTGATCGGGGGTCAGTTGGAGGGGTAGGTTTGTGGAGTGAATTTCACGGGTACCTGTGGTTATGTTTAAGGGGAGGCTCTGATTGAAAGATGGCACTTAAAAACAGATTTTATACAGTAGGGCTATATAAGACGGGGCTGGCTACAATCATTCAGGACTGCTGTCGGTCCTCGCGATATTTTCAACGCATCTGACGCTACATCGTAATGGCGAACGACGTGGGACACGGGCGGCACATGGTCTGCAGGCAGGGAAGCTAGTCACGTTACTACCGGCTCTCTATGTACTACCGGCTCTCTATACACTACCGGCTCTCTATATGCGCGACAATATGCTGCAGACTATGTAGTAGAATGAGTGTTGTCATCATGCAGGGCAGCGTACGTCAGTGCAAGAAAGACACAACTATCTTGAGCTTTTGCTTGCATGTAGCTCCGATTGCTGATGCGGACGAAGAAAATGATTGACAGGAAGGGAGACCATGCACGCAACCGCTCGGAACACGCACCGACGGACACAATCGACCAACGAAACTTTATGCAAATTGGTACCAACTTCTCTGCGCGATTTCCTTGAAATGTGCGGGCACTACCCTCGGCAGCAAAAAGTGCCGAACCGGTACTCGTCAATCGACGCCCTGCTCAAGTCTAGCAGTTTTTGTTCTCGCTCTATTTTAGATCTACACACGCTCAAACTAAACGAGACGCAATCATCACTTCGTTTCGTGCACAGAGAGCCTGCGTCACCATCAGCGTAGCAACGATCAGAGCGCAAGTATTTTCTTTGGCGATTCACAGCTGACCGCTACATGTTCTAGAATGTGTGAGATGAACGTGTGAGATTCAGAGCACAGCAGCAAACTTAGGCACAAACCCTTTCTCAAGGTACTGCGTTTATACGAGAAAGCCCGCAGCAAGCCTGGCCTTCCTTTCTCGTCTCCAAGGCACCATCGTTCGTGACGATGTGTCGAGATGATTGTTGGTGGACATAATCTCAGTGTGCAGTTTCTTCAGTGCGAAGGCTCAATTCAGCATAGTGCGATGTACAAGCCCACTTTCATCGGCACTTCCACCCCATATATTCGTCACCCTGACTCCTAGCGACTGAGGTACAGTCACGTTGCTCCATAGCGCAGGTCATTCGGCCTTGTCACTGCTTTTTCCGCCAAGTTTGCTCTCACCCTTATTCCGTCATACTCAATACGCGCGCCTATTCGACGTGACTGAGACGTCATCTCCACTTCAACCTGGTCCGACCAGTTGTCAGTATATTGCATATTATTACCCACCAGACCAGAATCAGCCAGTATGAACCCACGCGCATGAGACGTAGTACACAGCGGTATAGATTATCTGTAGAGCGCTCACGACACACAGAGCAGTGGTATAGAGTATCTGTAGAGCGCCACGCGCTATCGCTAACATTCAATTCATTCTCATTTATACCACAAAGCCCAGAGTCGCCTTCAAATAAGCTCCTCTGGCCCGATAGGTCCCTCTGCCAGCCAAGGGCCTGTCATCATGCCTTTGTCTTACCATCAGACTGCTTCACTCGGGACGGTCGATCGCTCTACGTCTGCTAGCACGTGAGGCGGTATATCATTTTGATCTCGACTTCTTTACAGCGCTCCTTTGTATGACAGCACTTACATGGCATCCACATCACAAACTCTGCTTGTTGACTTGTCTTGTGCAATCGATGCAGTGTAACACTCAGCTCGTTTTGGCCTGCAGTCTGTGATGGCCATACTTCACGTCACTCTGGTGGCCAGTTCTTTGCGCTCTACAGCATCGATTGTCCATCAATCATCGCTACAAATCAATGCATATGCACTGTTTCAAGATGTCCTCGCAGCGCTTGGCTCGCCCAACACTGCGTACACATGTGTCTTCTCCTTCTCAGACAGCTGAGCTATTGCGATCGCTTGACTGATTGACCCAGCAAAGATAGATGAGCAGGTCGCCTACGTGTTGCACCAGAACATTTACAGATGAACATACTCACCACAATGAGCTTACAGAGCCGCCACAATAGATATGCATACGCCCTAAGTCGGTGGCTACGTATCTGGGTATCAATCTAGGCGTCCTCGTCATTGCTGACTGAAAGCTAGACCTTTCGTTCACAACCGGATCGACGTAAACGTTGCATAGCCGTCTAATGCGAGTGGCGACATCAAGTACACCGGTCGAGCTCTTTTCTCGTCATTGTAGGTGGCACACGCTGTAACAAACGGTGCGCAACGATCATTGACACTTTCTCGCGCTTTTGCTCGGCCGATGGGTTGCTGTAACGGGGCACACCCTTGCGTGAACTTAACGCAAGGGTATCGGTGCCCCGACAGACGTACACGTGGCAAGCGAGGAAGCGTAGGTAAGGTAAAAGCAGAACGGTTATATTAATATAATTAAGTCTTTTAACTACTGTCTCTATGTTTGACTTAACTTAATTATTCTAATCTAACTGAGTGTATGGTGACGTCTCGTCACCACTCATTGCGCGCGTCTTGCGGCGATTGGTGGGTTGATATCATCAAGATATCAACCAATGAACAGACTCTTTGGTCGACCCATCAATATCACCACTATTGGTGATATTGTTCAAAGAATATTCAACTTAATATTCTTTATTGTCACTTTCTTTAAAGTGACAATTCCATGTAACGGGCTGCCCCGTTACACCAATGACATGAAGGGGTAAGTAGTCGCTGGCCTTTGCTCGCCGAAGGCCGTGGACGAGCCTCCAGTACTCAGTGATATTTTTGGTAGTATCGGCAGCGGCATATGCCACGCTCGATACCCACAAAACGCATGTGGCGTGCATCGGAACGTGAAGTCGGACAATGAAAGATCCAGATCCGCCTGGACCTGGATTTCCGTGGGATCCTCCGTCAAAAAAGAGGAGGTAGAGCACTACTGGGCACCGTTCGATAGGACGTACGTGATGCAAAGGAGGTTCGTCGTAGCAGAGGAGTGTATCAGCCAAGGCCGACCGTACCTGCGCAAACAGTTGCCCGTCCTCCCCCATGTTGGGCTGGTAGGTTTATCCACGAAATCTTTGAACCGACGGGCAAAAGATAGTCTTGGCCCTAGCTGTGTGAGCATCCTGTGATAGATACGGGTCTTCCATGCGGCGGAGGCGCTCGACCCAGATGACATGAAGTGTCGTTGATACGACAAAACGCCACAGCTCTCGAGCTGCCGGGAATACCGCAGCCTGAGCTTTCAATAAATCAGCGCCTGTGTTCAAAGAGTGCCTGAAAACAACCCAGACGTTGGGCTGAATCCCCGGTAGGTCCAGTCCAAACACCCAGACAGGCAAGTCATCCTCGGGGAACGTACCAAGCCATCGCTACCGATCAAGATGGTATTCCCAGAGTCGACGCGCGCTAGGGCATGTCCAAAAGATATGTCTCGTCAGAGCTGGACCAGCATCCCCCACATTCAAATACGGGTCACGACAGATCTTGCTTTGCCCAATTCCAGAGCGCGAAACTGTTACTCTTCAATCGATATATCGTCCGAGCGTTGTTCAGAAAGGACGCACGAATTCGTCGAATGTCTCTCCACGTGATCAATGGTGAACCTTCCGATATCACGTGAAAGTCCGCCTTTTCAACCCGTTCCTCGAAAAGTCTAGTTCCTTCCATATAGCGCCGCCTGGAGATAAGCTGTTTGAGTTTCTTTCGATGTGGCCGCCACCGTCGACGACCGGCCCACAGGTGGACAACCCGCGTAAGCATCGGATGCGCGCCAAAGTGAACAGGAGTTCCACTGGATGAGGGCGCGGCGATATCGCACGCCGTCATCGACGAGACGGGTTGCAACCCACATTCCATACCCGTATCGATATGAAGGAGAGATGTACCTTCACTGGTGAGAAGCCAGTCATGGAATTGGTGCACCTTCGTTGAGTACGAAATTAGGGACCCAGGTTCCAGCGCCCGATAGACCAGAGACGGGAAATTGTAAAGAAGTGCGAGGCAGAAGGACCCGAAATGCCGTCTCTTCGCCATCGACTGGGTCGCCATGTCACTCGTGGGAGAGAACAAGACAATGTCAGTCTGCAAAGTCTTCCAAGACATTGCCTTGCCAAGGTAAGTCAAACCCAGGGCAAAGGCGGCTCCATTTAATGTGTAAGCCGTACCCCGTATTCTCGCAGCTACGACGCATCCTTGAGCGTGGAATGGACAAGCCGTCGGTGACCAAATCGACCCGACGCCGCAACTTCAGCACGCATCCCGGCGCGCAGTCGATCATCAAGAACCCGCCAAACAT